TTTTGCCTCACGGATTCCCTTCAACATTGGAAACACCTCCAGGGTAAGTCCACGTAGGACCATCTAAGAGACGTAATTGTGAGGTAGAAAAAAGATCATTAAAGCACAGTCCACCCTCAGAAAAAAATAAGATGCTTCCTTTACCACATGTAAAGAAAATCATGTTTGCCGAACAGCAGCCACTTGTGTCCAACGTATCATCTGTCCCATTGCCTAATATCACGTTAGCTGCTGTGCATACAATTTGAGTAAAAGAAGGTAAAAATCAGATTCCCGCAATGCTCAATATAAGGCACACGATACTGTCCACTGCCACAGCCTCATGGAAAGAGGAGAGGATGATTTGACCCAGCCTCACTATGTGGGTTTTGGTGTTAAAGGAGAGAAATTTATCTCCAGTAGTGTTCTTCCAGCCATCCAGACACTTAGGTACTTAACTGACTCTGGTTGCCATGATTAGTTTAGCTGTGGACATTAAGCCATGCAGACAGAAATATGATACTACTGAGGCTTTGAACTTACGCCAGTCAGTCATAAAGACAGGGGAGTTAGTTAGAAAGTATTTTCCAAGAGAGAAGGTACACTTACATCTGGATAAGTTAGTGAGAGCAGGGAAGGACGGGCAGATAGCCAAAAGTTCTGAGATACACATGCATTATTTTTAAAAAGTTTTCCTTCAGTATGTCTGTCACACCCACATTTATTATCTTCCCATAAGTTTTATCCTTTCAAAAGTTTCTAAATTATATGGGATTCTCCAGCACAGATTTGCTGTTTGGGAAACAGACTATAATCATCTAGAATGACCAGGCCAGTTCACAGAAGCGCAGCATTAAGATGATAATATTCCTTAGGCTCAGTATTCCTATGTCCCAGAGAACCTGAATTTCAAACACTTATTTGTGTGGGAGGTTCAAATGCCACATAAACTTGGCAGGTCGTTATCTTTTGTGGTACTGTTCTTGCACCATGCCCTTGTCATAAAGTGTGTTTATCCGCTCTTGCACTTCCTTCGAGATCTCTGGATACAAACTGGTGATTAGAGAAGGAAGAAATAATAATGGCAGTTCACCATCATGGTAAACAGATAGGCTACATTACCTGTGGCAGGGGCTACTATGGGTGTAGCCTGAGCTCCCTGTATTGTGCAGATATCCCTCATGTCCACTTTGTTCCGAGTGCTTGAAGAATTACGTAAGACGGAGAAAGCAAATAAGAGATAGAAGAACAAAGAAAACCTTCCTGAGATGGTAAGCTGTCTTTCAGTAGTACAGCAATTTTGCTAGCAACTGTCTGCAAATAATGGCCACCACTTCTGAATGGTGCCACCAGGTACATTAGGTGGCTCCCAAGTCACTGCAATCTGCTGGCTTATGCTTTCATCCCTTGTGCCATTCATCCACAGCCAGTGCAGAGAGAGGTGGATGACTCATTCTCTGCAGGCAAACAATAGGACAACAATTTAATATTGCAAAAACTAACTTACTTAAAAATTGCAAGACTCTGGAGATCCTCGCTTCCCTCCTTTACCTGGATCAGGGGCTCAAGCAGTTGGTTAAAAATGCCTAAATTCCACACATCTCCCTGCTAGGCTCTCTTGAAAGCAATGCAATCGAGTAGTACCAGCTGGCTTTTGCACTTACTTTTTGATTTGCCCTTGACTGAACCAAATAGAAACGTGGAAAGATGTCAATTTTGATACTTCCGAATGCTCCTTAGCATGATACAGCAACCTGCCGAAACAACTAGAAGCCAAATGGTCCCGTTACATATGGGCTTCTCCTGCTCGAGGTGGGTGAGTAATCACTTTGGCCATGTTCCTGTCACTTGGAAAGAGCTGGCTGCAGAGCAGCTGCACGCCCAGCAGGCCGTGCCCCTCACCTCCCGCCCCCACCGCTGCCTTGCCAGCAGCCACAAAGGCCGTCCCGAGCCCCGGAGAGGGGCACCAGCTCTGCCTTGAGACGTCTCTGTGGGCTGGCAGGCCCCTAGCTCACCAGCCCCGGCACCTTTCAGGGAGCACCGCGTGGGTAAGAATGACTAGCAGAACAGCTGGCAGAGGTTTTTAACTTGTGTTGAATGTGTTGTGTTCTCCTCTGTTTTGGAGGTCATGTTAAACTAAACTGTCTTTCATGAAGCTCGTATACATGCCAAAATAGGTATCCACATATGCTCGCTGGAGCAATTAAGTCCCCTACATGGCGTTAGGAGAAGCTGTGGTATGAGATAAATGGCTAGGAAAAGCTCATGCTCTGCTCTTTCCTGGCATACCTAAAGCATAAAGGGATAACTAATAATAAAATAAGAAACTCTTGTGCTCCTAATCCTGGAGAAAAACACTTTTATTTAAACATGAGAGGAGAGCATGGAGGGCGAGGAGGAGAGCTGTGCTGGAGCAGGCAGCAAACAGTCCCAAAATACCACAGAGAAACATCCTTGGAGGCCCGGTACTCATCCTGGCTGTGCCATGTTCACCACCCCTAAGGGAAGCTTGCACCCAGTCTCACAGCTAAGTCAGTACATCCGGCCCTTTACTTCTAGTCCTTAGGCAAAGAGGCCGAGGTGGCGTTATTTTCAGTCTCATCACGGGGCAAGTAAAAGGGTTAATCCATCACTGCCACTCAGTATCGCTGACTTTCTGATATTACCTGATTTCAAAAACAAGACTTCAAGCACTTCTGACTCGGACCATTAATTACTGCCACACTCTGCTCACTGGCCTTCCCCAAACATTTCTGTAGCACCTGCAGATGGTTTTGATAAACTGCAACCGCTGCTTATGCACAGGTTAACTCAGCAGCTCTCCCTCCCTCTTTCCAGTCAGTTCACTTGCTTTCTACCCGCTAGTAGAGCAATTACATTTTCCCTGCCTTTGACTTATCAGCCCCTGTCCCTTCCCACCTGATAGATCCATGTGTCTGTCTGAAATTTTCAATATTAGGATGTTGGAATCATAACCGTCCCTAAACATCATCTCAAGCTATACAATTTGTAGAGCTCTCAGTTGCTTCACCGAGAAGCTTTCATGGTCAATTAAAGTAACGATTGTTAAGACATCTACCCTCAAACTCCAGAAAATTGTTTGGTTTGACACTTTTTAAAGAATATCATTTTTAGAAAGCGCATAAAGCTGTGCAACAGGAAAAGTTGACTAAGTCTTTCCTTCATAGATTTACTCATAACAATAGGGAGCTTGGTTTTCTGTGAATCCACAAGTTATATTATTTTCTATTCAGGCAGTCCGTGCATATTCATGAAAATTTTGAGTTTTCTACATTGTAGGAGGGATGGTTATTCATCTGAGAATCCCCGCAGAGAGCATATTTTCTGCAGTTATTGTTGGAATTGTCCAAGCTCCCTACAAACTCCCAATGCATCTATATAAACTAGATAGGGGCTGACAAAGGAGGCTTCTTCTGATTTATCAGCAGGCTGTCTCTGCAATCTGGCAAATTGCATAGAGATTTGCAGTAATTTCCCAAGATTATTTATAGTACATGAAGCTAAAGCTCCTTCTTCTGACTCCCTGCTCAGCACCTTAATTAGTGAAATCAGAGTGTTTATTTGGGGATCTTTCAGTTTTGGGGGGGATTTTTTTTTGTTTTTGCTTTGTTTATCAAATTTTTGATGTTCATATTTTCAACTAGAAGAAATAATACCCCATGATATAGTTGACAAAAAAATTTCAAAGTAATAGAAAAATGCAGCTATCACTAATAGATGAGATTAGATAGATATGGTCTCTATTGCATTTATAACTGGCCTGCATTAGGATGAACATGTGCAGTTTAGTGCAGTTAAAGATAATCTGTATCGCTTGCTAAACACATTCCATCAGTTTTACATTTATGCAGCTAAAGGCAAATGTTTAAACATTTGGTTAATGCACCATATGTCTAAAATGTTTTAGTTCCATCTGACATTTTTTAAATATTTTTATTTCAGTGGTAGCTCACTGAGTAAATTCATTTCTCCTGGAGCTGCGTACCCCTTTTGCCACAGCATTCTTAGATCTGTCCACCATGATGTCTTAATTTTTTGGCTCACTAATCTAATTTAATCTAATGTAATTGGTTTGGCAGCTCTATTAACTCTCTCTCTCTTTTTTTTTTTTTTTTTTTTTTTTTTTTTGCATGTAGGTGCTAAATGAGGCAGAATGTGTGCATGGTATGTAAGACTGCCTTTTCCTCCTTGCCCACTTTAAAGCATGACTGCAATTTTCTGGACAGGAGCAATAAAAGTGGGACAACATAGCCCCTCTGTGCAACCCACCTGGCAGCAAACGAAGCATCCTTCATGGTAAATTAGCAGCAAAGCCTTCTGGCAAACAAAGTCACAGCGTAGATCAGGATCAACTCTGCACATACCGTTCAGGGTGACTAATGCGCATGAAAACTGTACTTCAGTAAGACTTTACACAAGTAAATATAGGGACAAAAGAAGCTAGTCTATCTTGCTTCATTCAGGAGAGTTTAGGTCTGACTAGGGCAGGGAATGCTTTCTACTGCAGGCCGTGATTTGGGCTTATCATTTATGGGAACAGCACTAGACAAAAATAATATTATTTAAGAATTTTCATTTGATTGTTACTCAAGTATTTTGATTTGATGACTGCTTTATTCACGTGCAACTGGCCCTCAATGTCCAAAAAGTCCAAAAGTAACCCCCTGGAAATTCTGTAGTGAGGGCAACAATGTAACGAGTTTATGAACTAGACACAAACATCATTGTAACAAATCTCAAAACTAAAATTTAGCCGAAGTGTTTAATGGCCTGACATTCAAATGCAGCTTGATAGTTTTTCTTTAAAGTCTGCAGAAATATCCCTCTTCCTTCTCAAAGAAAATCTAGCCTAACTTAAAGAGAGTGTAGTTTAACATTCGTTTCTCCGGTTTCTGTCTGGAGAAATAATCTGATAGAAATTAAAAGTGGATTTTAACTGATTTTATTTTCATTTATCGAGTTCCAGTAGAAGACTATGCTTGCTGGAGAAAGGAGAAGGTCAGCTTTTCCTCAGCACCGTCCAGTATTGACCATTGTCAGAACAACAGTGGGGTGCTTTTGAAAACCCTGTGGTAAATATTTTTCAAAACTTCGGGACAATTTCATTGTCGCAGGTCAGGGAATCGATGCTTGGTCACGACAGGGTGGAATTTCCAAAAACTCATCTCTGTCTTTGTGGACCTCAACATTAATTTCACTAACTTCAGTGGAGAGGGACTTAAGAGAGAGGTTTACATATTTGCAGATTCAGGCCACGAAGGATGAGCAGGACTTTAGGGAAAAGTTACACAGATGTCTTCCAGGGAAGGCATGTGGTGGGTTTAGTTGAGTCTGCCTTGAGTAGAGAGAGAAGCTGGGCAACTTCTTGTTCTGCACTCGCTTGCACAGCTGCCTGGGCAGCACGACCTGCTTCTCTGCTGTTTTATCTCACACAGGTCCTCTCGTCTTGACAGAGGGATAGAGTCGTGTACTTCTTCCTTCTGCAAGACATTTTTTTTACATACATGCTGGCAAATGAATCCTGATAAAGCAATCAATCAGTTTAACAGAACGAAAGCCCTGCGTACTAAAAGGTGGCATAACGTTATTGTCCAACCTATGAAAGGAATAAGCCTGCTGTAGCCCAGTTACACCTTCTCTGTATACAATGAAATGGCTCTGATGCAATTCCTCAACAAAGGAATAAACCTGTCGTGAAAGAAGAATTTATTGCTCGTCAAAGCGATGTATTCAGGTAGTAATACTTCTCTCAGGGTCATGCTGGTAGTAACTCAGCATGTGATTAAAGGAAATTAGAGGGAGTCTTCATTACATTGTTTGCTTTCTCCTTGTGGAGCTACCGAAAGTATATTTGAATCCCTAAATTCCACCAACAAAGGGTTACTCCACGGAAAATGGGAGTGTAAATTGATAGAAAGAATAGCAATGTATATATTTACCAATCTTGGCTCTATAAGAGCTTCTTTCCTCAAAATAATTTTCTTAAGAATTATACCAACTGAAAACTAAAGTAACTACACTTATTTAAAAAAAAAAATGACTCCTGATTTCCACTAGTGTAGCTGAGAGTCAAGTCTCGCCTGTTGTTCATATGGAATATTCAGACTCCAGATTCCTGTATTCATCTATAATTCTGTTTGTAGTTCAACAAAGAAATTGTGAGGTGGAATAGTTCGAATGATTTTCAGCTTTAAAAAGAATTCCCCAATCAACCTTTTCAAAAAAAGACATATTGAAATAGAAAGGGTCGCATCACAGGATCTTGGTTAGCTGAGCAGTAAGTGAAAATCACTGAGAATAAAGGGTCATGAAATAAGCTTAAACATTGATTGGATATCCAGTCTCATTCTTACACGGTTTAAGCTGTATGTTCCCATGAGCTTCAGTTGCTTAAATCCTTTCTAATGGCTCTTTCAGGCTATGCAGGGATCTGTACCTCTCACTAACTACTCATCTAATCAAGCTCTAATTAGCATGGTTTACTTGGGAGAAAAATTAAAAATGACCCAATGATGTTTTATACAAAGTGCACATATTACGAAAGGAATACAATAGGTTTGAGAACTGCCGTTTGCAAAACGAGTGATGCTTCTCCCCTCATGTTTTTTTTTGTGAAGATCAGTGAAACAATTCCTCCAGATAAATATGGTTCCTGAATCATTTAAAAATCATTTAAAGGAGAGCAGGTTCTGCTTCAGAGCAATTAGAGCTATGATCAGAAATCACAGAGCTGCTGAGAAAGGAAATTGAAGCTGGTTACGATTCTGCTACTCCACAATGGGGTGAAGAATTGCCATATAATTAAGCTTCCCAAAGCTTTTATGGAAATATTTATGAAATGAGAATGTATTTTAAATAAATTAGTGGTCTCTTTTATTATTCTAAAAATATTGCATTGACAAAATATTCACCCAGACCTGATTGTTAAGCTTGTTCTGTGATTCAGGCTCCTCAAACAAAGTCAGATGCTAAAATTCTGACCGCTACATCTCCAGGACATTTTCAACCTGTGCCTACTACATGACCCCCATCCACTCAGGTGGAAGAGACAAAATTCGCTGGGTTCACAGCAAGGGAATGGGAAATCATGCCTCACCATCCTTGTCTCCCTTCGCCGTGACTTCACAAAGGCTGTCAAGTAAATACAGTATGAATTACTAGTCCCCTTACCTCAGAAGGAGTATTGCAGAGCTACAGGGGTTCGGAGCAGGAAGGCAGGTCAATAGCCACAATAAAAGTATTAGAAACATTCTCATAGGATAAGAAATTGCATTGATTGGAGTTATTTACCTTAAGGCCCCAGACCATGAACAGGAATGGATTAGCTTAGAAAGGCTGCGGTGGTTTCTGTCTTCCAGATCCTTGCTCTGCATCTCTCTCAGAACATCCCACTTGTGCAGCAGGGCTACCAGAGCAGCCCAGACAGCAGCTGCTGAGCCCCACAGTGGGTGTCAGCCAAAGGGGGACTGCTAGAGCCGGAGCATGCCCGGGCCGTGAAACAAAGCACTTAGAAAAGGCAGAAGGGGCATTCCCACTCTTCCTGTCCCAAGGCACAAGATGAAGGCAGGAACAAAGGTGGTAAGAAGGGACTAGTGATGAAATTAAACACGGTTCCAGCTCAAATACAAGAGGAACTTTCTACTCGCCATGTAATTATGCTGTGGAACGTGATGCCTCAGGGCACCGCGGAAGGTAAGAAACGGAAAAAAAATGGATCTGAATAAAGACACTGCTTTGCTACAGGTGATGTAATTGAAGATTACTACAGTTTTGACAGGGATAGTTAGAGTCTTACTTCCTCACTAGCATGGATCTGTATTAATTTGCATAAAGAGTATGCCTAAAGCAAAAGAGGTTACCTTTATCAGTGGTGGGGCTCTAACACCTTCCTTTAAAATGAAAAGGGATAGGACACTGTTTCACATTTACCTTCAGAGCTGACGGACTGTGCTACCTCCTGTGTTCGTTGCCTGCTCTACCTGCAGGCTGGTCCCTCACTGCCACAGATTGAACAAGTTAAATCTAGTGCGGCAAGAATTAATTTAAGTTAAACATGAATAACTCAGTATTATTGAGGTTTGTCCTCTGATATCCTGGAAGGAAAGATGGAAAACTGACTCCACAAAATAATGATGATATGGATGAGTCCTGCATCCTACAGGGAGGACATGTGGGAGAGGAGCCAATGCTGGATGCCACCAGCTCTCTGCAGTCCTTGACAGAGGAGGAGAGAAAGCATCAGTGTGACAGCACTGAGGATGTCTGTCACGATAGCTGGGTTCTTGACTTGCTAATGGGTCTACTTCAGAAAGAAGGGATTTAAATAAAGAATAATCTTTGTATTCTTAGGGAAATGAGAAAGATATGCAGAACAGCCTTTTACCTATTCACCAATATACTTTCCTCACTATGTCTAGTAGAATGCAATAATAATCACCCTACAGAGACTCAAGGAAAGTCATCAACATACATTGTTCCCATTTGATTTTTCATCATTTCTGTCTCTCTCTGCCACAAATCATCTGAAATTGTCTCCATTCATTACAAAAGAATATAATTAGGAATCATATGAAAACATTTCTTTTTTTAAAGGGCATTAACTCTGCAATATCACATCTGGTGGATCAAGAACATTTTCCAGGTCCCGGAGCCCCTTTGGAATGAAACGCAAGCTGAATTATTTTTCAAAGATAACCACAAACCTCCAACATTTTCATTTTTTTTCAATATTTCACTGCTTTCCCTACTGACCTCAGGAACTCATGCCTCCAAGGCACAGGCTGATCAGCTTTTCTGTTATTATTTGAAGAGAGATGTTTGTTCCAAATTTTTAAACAGCAGTGCGAAAATAAGGTAGAGGTTTATTTAACTCACAGATATCACCAGCTACAGTACTTCTCAGCGGAATAACCGCAGCTCCCCAGAATGCAGATGTTATGTGACATCCTGTGCAGAGAGTTATGGGCAAGTCGATCTGCAAGGCCGTCTCAACAAACTGTCCACAGCAAGGCTCTGAAAATCAATCTAGTATATATTAACAAAAACTGCATTTTTCTAAGAGCATTAGCTCTTTCAAAAGGGTAAAATTCATCCCATTACAAGAAGACTGTGTAATAGTGTTTATATGAGCACTCACATAGCTTAAGTGGTGCACCAGACCTCGCAATGGCTTCATGCACTGGAGTTAAACACAGACAGACTTGACTACTGATTATCTTTCCACTGCTTTTCGCCTTTCATCCACGTCTCCAGGCATTCAGCAGTCACACTTGGATTAAGTTTCATCACTAGCCTGCAGCATTTTTAACTGACCCTCCATCTCTTTGGCCACTTGTCCAGCCTTCTTTTAAAAACACCACGTCATAAATACGTGTGATTCTTTGCTCTTGCCTGTTTTTTTAAGACATACTACCGAAATGTAAGCCCTTGGCTCTTGAAACTACTTTAACCCCCCTCCACCTTTATATTCTGTGGGCATCAAATATTTAGTATAATTACGATTAGCATACCTACATGTTAGGCAAGCACAAATACTAAGTGTAACAAAATTACTTTCTGATTTGAAGGACTGTAGCTTTGTCATTTAACTGTTCTCCCTCTGTTCCCACCATTTTCATTAGCAAAGTATTGAGGCACTAATTCTGCATTCGATCTAATGAAGACTGCAGGATTACTTTTGTTCCATTGACTTCAGCAAGGGTAGGATTTCTTCCAAGAAACCCATTTGATTTTGGAAAAAAAAATTAAACTCTTAAAGAATCTGAATAAATCTGATCATCAGTAAATTTTGTATCAATTTACTTGAAAGTGTCATGCTTCTTATTACAAGTCTCGTACTCCAGAGCAGCTCAGCAGGAGTAAATTTGTTTATCATCCTTGATCTCTGCCAGTTTACACCAGTCAAGAGTCTGGCTCAAAATTACCAATAAAAATAATGTAAAACTAATTTTCATCTATTCTGTGACCTTCCCTTACAAAATGACAGTCACCTAGTGTGAGTAATTTCAATCGAATACATTTTCCCCATTATAATCAATAATGGAAGCTGAGAACAGATGAGAAGATACAGTAGCTGTGTTGGCAAATTTTCCGAACAGATGTGAAAGACTGCTTTGTTTCTCCCAGATATTACATTTTTTAAGCATGTTTTAACTGCAATGGGGAACATAGCTAGCTAGACCGTCACTGCAAAACAGTGCCTGAAGCTCTGTAATATTGTAACTAATGATCTAAAATTTCATAGAGGGAATCACTGGCTACATGGTGGGTCTGTATTTTTGTTACAATAAAATATTTTTATGTAAACCAAAAAGACACATACAATTTCTTGAATAGAGCATAGGCTAAGAGGAATAGAAGTGTTGTAGCCAGTATACATACACATCTCCTGCAGGAAGCAACCAATGTGACTAGTGGGAACAAGTGCATCATTCCCTGTCATCTCACTGTACGTACACGCATCGTATTGGATGGGCTAAATTCCCTTTACTTCTCATTTATTACCAGGCCAAGAAATTCATCCTCGTGACAAAAACTGTCCTTCTCATTCTCATATCAATTGTCAACTTATAATATGTTTGATAAGTCTTTTTATTTGTTTTAAAATGTCTTCACTAATTTTTGACAGGCAAGAAAGGTCACTAACCAATTTCAAAAGAGTTGTCTGACTTGATTTTTCTATTGTGTTGGTGAGCAACATGTTTATTTTGAATCCATGAATAACAAAACATGTTTTATTTTTCTTTCCCCACAGGCAGCAAGTACGCCTCAACATCATGAGCACTTGGGATTTCTGCTTCACACGGGAGACTGAAGTGAGTCATTATAAGCTCTCTGTTCACCTTTTTCCTGCTTCAGAAATGACAACAATTTTGACAGAGTAAGTAGCCACAGAGATCTTTTATATAAAAGGAGTTAAGGTTTATAAGGTAAAGATGTACAAGATGGAATAACCATTACAGCAGATGCTCATGATGCAACATGGGAGCCCAGCCGGTCATCCAAAGATTTTTGGCTGAAGGCAACTGAGATGTCATTTATAGTGGAAGGGTAAAGGTAAGTTCTGAGTTTTGTTCTTAATCTGCTACTGTGTATGCTAGATATGTGCAAAAGACACCTGTGCCCAGTGTCATCTGGGTGGAACGAGAAAACTCCCGGAAGTCCACCAAACACCCATCCGCAGTACTTAATGCAGAGGCCAGGTAGGAAGCAGATGGGCTGCTCTCAAAAACTTCCTATGGGCACGAGTTTGGAAGCTAAAATGTTCAAAGACAACAGCCATTCATGCTGGGTGCCTTCAACACAAAATCATCTAGGCTCAGTCTGCACCAGCTGCAGCTGGGACAAGCAACAGGATGTCTGTCCTACCTCCTACCCACTGCCAAAGAAGCCGCCCCTTGAGACTGCGCTCGCCATCCACATAGACAATGCCAGGATGCACCTTCCTGCAGCCTCTGCAAGGACATGAGTGCCTATACAGTTGTTGTGTCACCTCTTGGGGTCACATAATTATTCTACAGGCACTGCGCAATGAGGTAGCAGCAGGCCTAAGAAACACCAGGCTTGGGCATGTTCTCACAGCTGTCTGTAGAGCCACAGACAGAAATCTTCACTGTTAGAGCCTCAAACAATGTCCTTCACTGATCGTTTATTCTGTGATCTTTATGGGTGGGAAGGAGCTGGAGAGGGAAATACTTGTTCTCTGCTGGGGATTGTTCATACCTTGCTTTATGAAAGGACAAAGTCATGTATGAGGAATCCCTAAACACAGACCAGATCTAGGGGCTGCCAGTCTGGCTAAATGCCATCTCCAGTTTTGGAATGAGGTTACAAGGGGCACTTCCAGCAGTTTCTTGAATCCTCAGATTTTCTTGCCTACTTAGGATGGGCAATCTGGGTAAGGAAGCACTTCTTTGAGGCAATGATCTCTTCCAGGCAGTTAGGAAAAGAGCTACTGATGCTTAGCATGTCCAGATAACAGATGAAGTAATTGGTTATAGGGTTGTGGAGCTGAAGCTAACTTCATCAACCTACTTTTAGAAAACCATATCTCTGTAAATATGTATACATGCATATAATATACATATGTACATACATATGTATATTATATGCATGCATGCATTTACAAAAAATATAACAGTTGAGACTACTTAAAATCTACTGTGTCTGGCTTTTTAATCACTCTTCCTCCCTAGCAAAAACCAAACCGAAAAAGCAAAAAGAGGCTCCTGAAAGAGAAGGAAGAAACTAGATATTAATGAGAAGGATGGATTTCTGATTAGACCAGGAGAGGCAACAGATTGTGATCGATTATGGCTAGTGCTTTTCTCTTTCTAATATTCTCTGTGCCCAATTCTCCTGATCTTTTATTTAAAAATCACCTACCAGTCCACAGATATTCTGTAGAATACTCTATGAATTAATTACAGGGGGATTTATCAAGTGTTTTGAGATTCTCAGAGGGACACACCTGCTACACTGTGGCAAAGGAGTAGTCTCCCACACTGTAGCTACAACTTTTAAGAATGAAAGTCCTGTGTGAAATAAATGTCATATGAATCTGTTCCTAAACAACTAAGTGCAAGTACTAAAGAAGTGAAAAGCATAGCAGATATTCATTTTTTTTAAAAGGAGTAAATTTGTCTGTGATTGTTTCTTCTCTGGAAAGTTCATTCTATCTGTTTTGCGCTTGTAAATCCCATGCAAACCTCAGGAAAATAAGATTTTTGCAAATCTACTCCCACCCTTTCAAAAATGCGACCTGACTCTTCTGGGCGTCTACTGTTAAGGAGTGGCATTTGGCCTTTGTTGTGTAAGTTATTCTGTTCTGGCAAACACTGTATATTATCTAAGGGGGGTTTTTTGTTGTTATTGTTTTTTTTTTAAATGTGAGGAAATCAGTTGATTTAGGGATACCATGCAACCCTAAAAGGAGCTAGCTGGGACAGTTCCATGATTCTGTCTTCTACTTAGCCTTCGCTTCCTCACTTCCTTGCCTGTGAAATGGATCAAACAGTGCTATCTTCCTCAAAGAGTTTTTGTGCATATCATAAAAGGACTAAGTACCAAACCAGTTTAAAGGTATCATTAGATAGCTTACTGAACTGTAACAGATAACAGATTCAGATATCAGTATAGGCGTTCCTACTATCAATGAATGGGTTTGATAACAAATAAAGTAATTAACTAGTAAACATATTTATCAAAGTATTTACATATATAAGCTATTTACATATATTCATATGTTATGGCCCAGGGAAAGAAACAGAAACAAAATAACAGACAAAAGAAGGGTAAGAAGCTACTTTCAAAAGGGAAAAGCAGTAAAGAGCAAGGAAGCTCTCACTTCTGTGGTTTGGACCATCACAGTCCCCTTTAACGAAGAAGCTTTGCTTTCATGGATTGGACAACAACCATCCAATAGGTGCACCAAACACTCACGCAACCATGCGGAGAGGGATTTAAATCCCAGCGGGAATTTCCCGGGGTGGTGTCCCGATCTGAGGGGAGTTTGTCACTTTAGCAGACCAGCTGCATCCAATGAGGCAAACTCCAGGTTCAGAAGCCCCTGGTGGTTATTTATAGCTGTGATCAAATCAGAAGTGTGGTCATAATATTACCTGGTGGCTCTGGCAGGTTCAAGATGATTCTGGCATGTTCTTGAATGTTCTTTGATGCATAGGTGCCACTTGCTCCACTCACGTGGGATTTGATGGCTAGCTGTTTCCTCCAATCACTGTCCAGTCACTAAGCAGAAAACTGTTGACCAACAGGTATACCCAGGTGGAGTCAGCTGTAGGTTGGGGCAAGAGACATCAGGTATGCCCATTGACTTCTATGGGTGCCACCACAGTGTGAGAAAGACACCGAACAGACGTTGCCCCTGACAGTACCCATACCTTTTGGTAACTGCAATGTCGTATGCATATAAAACAAATAGCAATGCTGCACAGCAGGGAAGTGATTGGTGTAGCCGGCATGGTAGACATATCCAAGGACTTCTGGTTCACTGTTTCTCCTATATTCCCCAAACAGGACAGAGGAACAGAATTAAAAAGAAAATGGAGTCTTGTGTATTTGCAGGTTTCCTAATATGGCTATCAGACTTCCAGTAGTCATCATTTTAGGGAGTAGCAATATTATAAAATAACTTGGAAAGGAAAAACATTGAGAGTGATGCCAAAAATAATAACAACTCAAATGTTCTTGTTCTCCTATTAGATGAAGTTCAGCAAATTCAGATTTAAGAAAATGTAATCAAAGATAAGAATAAGCCATAAAAAAACAGCAGGTACAGTACTAAGGAAGACAGAGAAAGCTTGCAGCACAAGGTGATGGCTTTAACAAAAAAAAAAACCAAACCAAAACAAAACAAAAAAATACCAAAAAGCAGGAAAAGCTTAGCAAAGGATGAAATGAAGATCACACAAGAACTTAAGATAAATAATGGAACTTTTTTTCTCGTTCTATAAAGAAGAAAAGGGCAGCAAAGGAATCATTAGGGTCTCCCAGAGACAGAAGAGCAGAAACTAGAAGCCAGAAGAGATAGGCATTACAGAAAAATTAAATGAACTTTTTGCTTCACTGTCCTTGAGGGAGGAGGATGAACTGCTGCCAAAGAGAGAAATGCATTTTCCTGAGTGAGAAAAATGAAAAGCAAAAAAGAACTCAAAGTCAAAGAATAAAAACTGATAAAGAAACTGGATGCTGAGAACATTGATGAGACCCTGAGGCTAAACAGGTCCCATCCCGCTCACTAGGAAGAGCACAACAAGGAGCCCCTTTAATTGTATCAGCTTAGATTTACCAATGGTAAATCATACCTGACCCAGTGGATTACTTTTTACGATAAAATGTCTGGATATGGGAACAAGGGGTGAGCAAAAGATGTCATTTACCTCAACTATAGCAAAACTTTCGACACTGTCTCCTGGAACATTCTGGTGTCTGAGTTAGGACATTATATTCTGGATAGGTGGACAACCAGATGCATAAAAACTGGTTGGATGCTTTAGCTCAGAGGGTAGTGGTTAACGAGTGGTACTCGGCCTGGAGGCCAATAACAACTGAAGTACTACAGGGGTCGGTCCTGTTTCATCTTTATCAGATAGCTGGAGGAGGACTGATGAAGTTTGTATATGACACCAAAATGGGGGGGGAGGGGACTGTCAATACACTTGTGGGCAGGGCTACCATTCAGAGGGACTTATGCAGGCTGGAGGAATGAGCTACAATAACTTCACAAAATTCAGCAAGGGCAAATGCAAACTCCTGCAGCTGGGAAGGCAGAACCCCTTGCAGTGGTGCAAGCTGGGGATTGACTAGCTTTACCAAAAGGTTCTGGTGAGTTCTGGCAGACAGTAAGCTGCACGTGAGTCAGGAGTGTGCCCTGGCAGCAAAGGCTAATAGCGGTGTTAGCAGAAGCACAGCCAGGAGATTAAGGGAAGGAATGGGTTATCCTCCTTTACTCAGCATTTATTGGACCACAACTAGACACTGCATCCTATTTTGAGCCCCCCAATACAAGTAAGACATTGAAAAATTGGAGCAAGGTCAGCTGAGGGCCACCTAGATGGTCTGGACTGAAGCGCTTGCCCTGTGAGGAGGGACTGAGGGAGCTGGGATGGTTCAGCCTGGAGAACAGACAGCTTCAGGTGGACCTGCTAACAGCCTGCGAGGACCTGTGAGGAGTTTATTAAGAAGACAGAGCCAGGTTCTTGACTGTGGTGCCTGGTGGGTAGATGCGAAACAATGGGCTTAAATAGGAACAGATGAGGTTCAAAGTGGGTATAAGCAGAAACTTTTTCCCCAGGAGGACAGTAAGGCACTGAAATAGGTTGCTAAGAGAGGTTGTGCAGTCTTCGTCCTGGGAGGTTTTTCAAGCCCCCGCTGGATACAGCCCTGAGCAACTTGGGCTGATGTCACAGCCACCCCTGCTTTGCACAGTAGGTTGGACCAGAGACCTCTTGATGTCCATTCAAATGTAAACTATCCTAAAATCCCATGATCTAGGGGGTTCAAAGAGGACCCAGCTGAGGAGAGAGAAATGGAAGTTCCCATTGGACTTCGGAAACTTGGGTAAGCTAAAGAATAAACTACATGAGAGTGTTTGACAAGGGAAATATCGGCAATACCAATTAAAGGCTAGATTAAGAACAGAGATTTGTGGCTTAGCTAGCAAGAGAAAGAAAAAAAAAAGACATTTGTAAGGGTAGAGAGCATAAATAGACAGAAAAGTTGCTTCCGGAAGCACTGTACCTAACTGGCTGTGTAGATTTGGAGAAGCCTCAGGGAAAGCTTTTGCCAGGACATTGGTTAAAGGTGTGATATTTTCTGCCTGTCTAGCGTAAAAGAAGGGCCAGCCAACAATCCTAGCCACGGAAGTACCTGAAAGGAGGAAAGCAAGGGCAGCTTTCCTGGGTCAGAGGGCATAGTGATGGTAGCTGTGGGTTGAAGGTTTGTCCACAATCACGTTCTCTCCAGCAGAGACCTGTGGTCCAGGCCTGGACCTGTTCGAAAGCAATCCTCCTACCTCTGGAGAAACCACCCAGTGCAGCTACCCAGGGAATTCACCAGCAGGAGCAGCCACTGCAGCTGGAATCTGTCAGAAAAACGTCTACCATTTTGCCCAGAGGTTTTTTTATCCTAAATTAATTATCTGTTTGCCACGGACGCCTAGTAAATGCAAATACACCCATCCTGCCCCTCAGGAAATTCCTGAGACAATCAAGTTCTAAGGCTGCAAAAATGTCCTGGAAGTGTCACTATTTGCCTGCCCTGTTCCTGTGAGGGACAGGGGCTCTGGGCTAGGTAGATCTTTTTTCCTGGCAGAATCATCATTATCTTCTTTTTCCAGTTATTTTGATTCCTACCTAGAAAATGGGAGAGAAAAGCTTTATTCCTCTATTGCGGGGATTTTGTCAGGCCAAATTCACAGTAATAAGGGGCTGTTAGGTCTTCAGATAAACACAGATAATAAAAAAGGTATGTTCTTATGCTCATAAATAATTACAACTTAAAATGCAATACAAAGAAGTCAGTAATCCCACTCCCAGGACATCAGCAAATAGCATTGTCCAAAGATCACAACCTAGGAGTAGGGTCATTCTCCAAAGACAGCTGTCTCGTTTCCCTTCCAAGGAAACAGTAATATATCACACTGCAACTCATCACAAAAGTGTAATAAAAAATACACATTCATTAACCTGCAGAAAAGAAAAAGGAAGTGATAAAACATACTGATGAAACAAAAATCAGTCAATGTAGCCAAGACAGGAGGTTGTAGGAAGCTCCAGATGGACATAACCAAACTAGGTAATTGGACAGCAGAATACCAGATGAAACTCAGCCTAAACATGTGGTTTGAGGGAAATGGTTTTAAACTACTTGTAAACATTAATGGGTTCTGAATTAGTTCTAACCTCCAAGGAATAAGATAAAGGCATCATTGTGGTTAGCTCAATGAAGACATCTATTCAATGTGCAGCAGCAATGAAAAAAAAATGAATGAAATGCTAGGGGATATTGAGCATGGAACAGACAGAGAATAATGCAGAGAACACTGGAATCAATGAAACATCTTCAGCCTTGCCAAGTCAATAGACATTTATTTTGTATACCACCTCCCATGAAATCCACAACTTAAAGTGCCCTCCAAACTGGAGCAATCTAATTACAGAATTAAATAACAAGAAAGGGAGAAACTTTGCTTCTCTGCTCACAAATTAAGTAAAGAGCAAAGGATTGAAATGAAGTCTGGACAAAGTAGAGTTACAGAGGGACTGCCATAGAAGAAAGCTCTTTCACCATTGATGGAGAAATTTTGGACAAGAGAAAACTGGAAACAGATGAGCAGAGAAGTAAGAAAGCAAAGAAATAAAGATAAATATCTGCTTTGATTGGTGAATACAAATGGGAACTATTATGACTAGATGGCTAGGTTTGTCTGTGGGTGGGTATTTGTATACATAGCAAAAACGTCCATATGATAATTCTCGGGGGCTAGCCCCAAGGATTCATAATCACTGGGTCAGTGGTTGCAGGGCTGAGGTGAAGCAGCCAGGGTTCAGTCTCAAATCTTTCAATTTTCTATGCATATTTTTCACCTCCTGGTTTGTGTCTTTTTTTTCCCCCTATTTCTACTATATCCCTTTGCAGGTACAGATTATTTATTTATGTTTTCTGCTTGTGCAGAATAGGAGAAACTAGTATTTTCTGTAAAACAAATACACAGAACAATGTTGACAAAATCAGAGCAAAACAGCTGAATATTAGACCAGTCAAGGCCAAGGCATATATATAAAGTTTTACAGAGACAGAGATAAGGTAAATTTGCAGGCTCAAAGGGAGGAAAAGAAATCGAGGATACGGCTGAGGTAACAAGCAGTGAAATTAATGGAAAACCTGAATTAAGGAGAGTCAGAAATGATACATTTTAATGCTTCCTAATTCAGGCTTTAAGATATTTAGCTAAAAGTAGTAAAACCACAGACGAATGAAATAAAAGGCAGAGGAGAATAATCATGCTGAATCCTTCCAGAGTGCTTCACATTCATCGTTTTCAAGGTGGAAGAGAATCACTATCCCCACTGTACAGCTGGAGCAAATAAGAAGAGAGAAGAGTTAAATATCATCCACAAAGTCACAGAGTTAGTCATAAGCACGCAGGGGAATCAAACTCAGCTTTGCAGTGACCTACCAATAGGCTATATTGCAGAAAAGTAACCAAAATGGCCAACTATGAGAAATACTATAAATGTGCTCTGAAAAGTTTCCGGTTAGAGGTAAGATACAAAGAGCAAAAAGTTGAATAGGAAAGAAAAGTGGCTTGAAAATGACGTTAACTTGGGTCACCTCATATCGAAAATGATGTAGCAGAAACAGCAATTAGCAGGAAAGAATAAGCAAGCTGAAATGGTGCCTCTTAGCTTTTGGGTTGTAACCCCCCAAAAGGGCAAAGAAGTCGGTTCAGGAGGGGAAGTTGGAGCACGCAGGAAGGAAAAATGGAACTGTAATATGCTGAGAGTTTAATTATAATCTAAGTGAATGAAAATCTCACTCTCCCTTTACCTGCAAATCCTACCTTTGAGGTCAAGTATTCACTGCCAGTCTCTCAAAACACTCACTCAGACCCGCTACATGAGATTGCCATTAGTATCATAGATACATATTTTATTCTTACATTTAGAGTAAATTTAAATGTGCAGAGAATATTTTTTATTTTGAATAAGGAATCGTCAATCTGAAAGAGTTGCACGGCATTGAATTAGAGACAAGATCAGCATGGGCAGACTTTCAAAAAGAAAAAGAAACCATATAATGAAGCTGGGCCTGTTTTGTACTTTGTTTTCAAACACTGAAAAAATAAAAAGGAAAATCTCTATATCGAGGGAAAAAAGCATATTTTGAATTGCAGATTGGATCCAAAAAACCCCATGTTCTTTTATTTAGTAAAGCCTCTCTTTTGAAATAATAAAATAAAGAAGGATAAAAAAAAAGGATGTTGGGAGGGAGAGTGGACGCTCTTTCTTAAATCAAAGAAAGAAAATGCAGTCTAAATTTGACTTTGTGTAGCACGAAGAGGACTTTCTGTCTTTTAAAGAGATGAATAAGTAAAAAGAAATCAGATGGGGTCCTCTCCAAATAAGTGCACTTACTGCGCAGTTACACCTGCCTTACTGCCAAGAGGAAGAAAAAGGAGAGTGTAGGCATGGAAATAAGCTGATTTTTTTTTCCTTCCAATTAAAAAAAAAGCAATTTTTAATCTAATTTTAAATCTAATCTTAAAAATTAAAAATGGTATGAAATAACTTGATGAGGTCTGATTTGACCAAAGAGAAAGTGTCAACACGGTCTTGGCCATGCAAGGCGCTGCCTGGGATAAGATTCCAGCAGAGAGACACACACAGCCCTTTTCTACAGTCAAATTCCCATTCATATATAAAGGTGGTAAAACACTATGTGGTAAAATCTTTACAAAATTGAAGTGCAAACCATGTCTTCTCTATAGTGTTCTCCTACACTTCCATGTTTAATACCCATTCCCTGCTTTCAGTGCTGTCATAGTTTCCATTTCAGTGCTCCCTCCTCTTAGCACTTCTCAAAGTCATACAGTCGACTAGATTAATTTAACCTGAAACCATCATCCAGCTGTAAAATCTGTATTAACCCCAAGGTGGTAAGTTCTTTTTGTTCACTGTCCTGAAGGTACTCTCAGGAGAACAGTGAAACTGGACTGTAATAAAATATTTCAGAGCCTTGTTTTCATACACAACTGTTGTGACCAGACGTAGCACCACAGCCAAGTGTTACAGGATAGAAAAGTGCTTGTATAAGCTATTCACTCATGCTCTCTAACTACCTGCAAGCTAGTTTGACTTCTTTAACCACTAAAGGCGCTTTGCTTGCGTTGCTGTTGAATAGCTCTTGTTTGCTATAAGATATGAGAATCAAGAAGCTGTAGGGTTTGAGTATGCTGCCCTACTGTGTGAAGGCACTATCCTCGCTATTACTGGTTCCATTTAAATATAGGTTTTCAAACCTTTTCTTCCTTTTTCTTCTATATCATTGTCTGTGATCTCTCTTCACATGAAACAGTTTGGGCAAAGTTCCTCCTTCAAGGCCTTACTTTTTTATCTGAAAGATCTTATTGGACGCATTTCTCCAAAATACTGGAAGACTGAGGAAATACCTTTCTGTCTAGTCAAGTAAGGGAAAAATCAGTGGCTATGGCAAGGAAAGGATGGCCTGGCAGCCCTCCTCAAATTCAGGTTCGCCTCCCGCAGTAACGTGATCCTGCAGGAGGATCCCGTCTGTCGGACAAGGGCAGTGTGCTCTAAGCACCTCCAAAGAGGCTGTCCACAGAGGTAACGGGGCAGGTAGGACATTTGACGTGTATCAGCCTGCTACACGCAGCCTCCTCATGACCCCTGGCTTCCTGGCCCGGTGGGCCACACTGCTTGTTGTAGCCACCCTGTGGAGCAGACCAGGCAGGTCTACCTTATGCACCAGCTACATGTCAGCTTGGCCCCATATTTCCTTTGGACTCCATGCGATGCCCTGGAGGCCCTAAGATATAATGATCTTTTTTGTGTTTTCTGTAATAAAGACATACTGTGAGGCCTGTACGGCAGCCACTAGAGCTGTGTTTTTACGGTGTGAAAATGAAGGCTTACGTTGCCTGCTCTGCGTCGGAGCGTGAGAGCACTTTGGAGAGTTTAAGGGTGAGGACTCCATTATCCAATGTAATGTATTTCACTAAGTGCCACCTTCAACATTCAGAGAAGTGAGTCAGATCCAGAAATAGCAGCCGGGTCCCTCATTTCTTTCTCAAAAGATGCTTCAGGTGACTGAACTGTTACAACTCCTTTAGATGCTACAGACCGAAAACATCTATCTTATCTTCTTATTGAAAATGTCATGTCTGGTGCCAAGCCTTCCCTGAACAGCTGTCTCATATCAGCTGTAACATAATTCTTGGTTAAAAAGAAGCTGAGAAATAAATGAATAAATTATTGTCAATTGAGCAAGGGATCTGGAGCCTATAATACAATAGTGTTGAAGAATCTTTTCATAAACCAGGAACACAAACTTAAACCATACAATATAAACTTAAATCCAACTCTTAGAGCCACATACCTTAAGGTCTCCTGGTGCTGTCTTTTCATAATGTCTATGTACTGTAGCCAGAACCAGCAATATGACATCTGAATTTCTTTCCCCCGGCCTGCTGGGTTGCTTTCCAGTTAAAATGTCCTGTTCTGCATTCGCGCTGTTCCAGTGGTCGTCCAGTTATAACTTGCCGCAGGAAACATCCTGGTAAGATGATATCAAGAGGGGATGTTACTTCTCTGAAGCATCTATAAATTCATCTGTTATTCTGAGAACACTTGTGCAGGCAGGGCAAGCAAGTTCAGTCCAATTGGCTTGTGTCTGGACCTGCGTTAGTATGTCTTGTCCCTCAGGGGTTCATACAAAGAATAAGGGCAATAAATGGCTGGCTTGTTAAACGGACTCCAGACCAAGTGGAGCTAATATAACTCTACATGGCTGCACCTGGTCAAGGAGACACCCTCTCAGGACAGGAATGCTGCCTCAGTATGGCAGCCTGTAGTCACCGTTACTGGCACTTACATGCTCCTCTACTGCAATATTATTCCTTGATAGTTTCCTTCTTTCACAGTCCACTCTCACTTTAGAAACTGAATAACACTCCAAAGGAGCCATTGCTTAGGACCACTGTAGAAATAAGAAACATTTCTGGAAACCAGTTTCCCCAAATTTACAAGATTTTGATGCACTAATATGGTTTTTGGTAAAGTCTTGCTGCTTCTCAATTATGCAGAGAAACTGAATCAAACACAAGGAGGCCAAAGGACTGCCCAAGGTCGCCGTGTGAATCAGTATCTCAAGCTGAGTGAAGCGTACAAGCACGTGAGCTCTGATTTTCGCCATCTAGCTGTTAGACAATGCTCTCTTTATTTCAAGCTACTATTGATTTACACCCTTCTACTCTTAGAATTCTGCTGGCATTTTGTTAATTCAATATCCAATAGCTCTTAATGATCCTGGCTAAAGATAGAATGCTAGGGTGCCGTCACACTCCATAAAGTCATTGCATAAAAGTGTGATCGGGAAGTCATTTTTCTTACGTAGTCTGATACGCAGGTCCTCAATCCAAAGAAACTCTTTGCTCAGCTAAGTTTTACATACAGCTGGGAAAAAATTCCAGTGTAAGAGTTTTCTGGCAGCAAATACAGAATACATTTAAACTGAATGTTTTCCAGGGAGGGCTTTTGGGTTTTTTTTTTTTGAAATTTTCATTGGGATGTTGCTGAAACTTTTCATTTTGATAGGAAGGAAACTCCTTGCTCTAAAACAGAAAGAGAGAGAAATTGCTCAGGAGGCATGACTGTCAGGAGGAGCTGTTTAAAAGAGATACTAATAAAAAAAGAAGAAATTTTATCACATTGTTCAGTTTCCAGATTCCTTGGGTGACACAACATGTCAGCCAGCATCACTCACATTATTTGCCCTGACAGATCCTGCCTGACACAATGACTCACAGCTGCTCAGGGCCATGTGACTGGCAGCCATTAATATAGTGGAGCGGCTAAATCACTGCTTTTCATTTGCACCTACCAACTGTACATATGCAAAAATTCCAGTTGTGCATGCAGCCAGCTACTCTTGGTTTGTTTGCAGATTATGGGAGAGCAATAGTAAGAGACAGAGCTTGCTTTCAGCAAGCCTATTTCTTTCCAATTCTCTTTGCTGAGCGACTAGAGATTTCCATTAAAACATCAAAATGTCTTTCTAGGTATAAGACCAGCTCTGCATAAGATAAAGAAATAAAAACTATAAAAACAACCGTAGCATTCAAAAGCATTTCTAAGCCAACTGCAGTATAACAAATTCAGTGTAAATTTGTGCTGACCTTGGATCCAGAATGGTCTCCTTCTGCCAAAAATTTGCATAGCAGATATTACTTTTGAGTCAGGAGTACAGTAAATTGCAGTGTGTAGGTTTTACAGGACGAAAAGATGATAGAGACTGAGTCTCAACTCTACCTGCACAAACCAGAGGGAACTCCAACAGATTCAGCTGAATTTTCCTGCTTCAGTGAGGAGAGAACTGCATTGTTTTTAAGGAGTACATGCCTTTGTGTTTATTCATGCATGCTAATCCAGTGGCCTGATCTGGCTGGGAGCTCATAGGGCAAGTACACTGTACACAGGGCAAAGGAGGTGGAAAATGGCTGTTTAAGCTACACATGCTGCCCTGACAGTCAAATACCTTCACGTGAGCCTGCGCACACCATTGTGTTTAGAATGTGGGATGCTGTGGACCCAGGCATCTCGCTCCACACGTTCATGACCCAGCAGCTCAGCCTGCACGAAAGCAGAACGGAAAGGAGAGGAAAAACGTTTTCTGGTCTCCGCTGCGGAAAAGTTTTGCACAGCCTGCTCTGTCTGAAAACCTGAAATGCTCTAAAAGCTCCACAGCTGCCAATATGCCACTGCGATCCATCCAGTCACAAGGACACCAGCAGAATAGGGCCATCTCCACTCTGCCAGCTGTGGCCCCTTGCTGGGGAATCTTCCTCCTCCCATGACAAGGAACTGAACAGCCCTGATTCTCTGCACTGACACCAGCATTTTCCTCTTTCTTCCTCACCCTTATGTTACAGTGGCTCCTCAGGGTGTTTCCAGCTTTCTCTTCTCTTCAAAGCTCCCACATCAAATGGGCCCAGAGTCCTACTGATAGGGTACTTCTTGGGTACTTTCAGAAAATGGAAAACCTGTGCAGGGCACCTTGCATGTGCTGACCATCACTGACCAGGATTCTCTGAAATGGTGGATGCTGCAGTCCTACACCATTAAGGCCTCAGTTTTAATTACGGTGTATCAGGTGCACTGTACATGTCTTCAGCAAGTTAGTGTCTACTAAAAGATTGTTCATTGTCAATGCAATATCAAGTCAGCACAGGTATTTCCTCTTGCAGGTTGAGATTAGAGGGCGTGCATTGTGATTGTTACTTCTCTGCCTTTTTTCAATACATCTAACTATTTAGTGAGCTATTCACACTACATGATCTTATCTGCTTCAGTCATAATAACCATCATCTCATGTTTGTAGAACACCTTTGTCCCATAGGAGCTGAAACTACTTAACAGAACTGTACTGTTTTCCTGGATAGACTCATTTTTATTCAATAAGATCATAATGTGCCTTGTACAGTGAGAGATTTTTAAGTGAATCTTTAGATGTGTCAGCTCTTGCCCAAGAGAATTTTAGTAAATACGCCTAGATCATTGATTCACGCAGTTCTGGACCTCTTTCACTTTATTCAAAAAGTCAATATTTTTGAAGGATTGGGTACAGGAATGTTAGTACAGTACATTGATAAAGACAGCTCTTCTTCTGAGGAGATATGAATGTTAGCACCAGTAAAACACTATAAATATGAAGGGAATATTGTTTGTGACAGAGGAGTAGATGAAGTAAAATGAGACCCTGACTAACCACATGCATTGTTTACTGGGCAGGCACTCCCAGCAGTGAGAATGGGTTTCCTGCTACATAACATGACACAAGAGATGTCAACGAACACAGCATGTTTTACAAACCCAGGCTTGACTTGCTGCCTAAAGGCATAGTCCACCACCTTTCTGAAATCATGAGCAAAGAGACTGCGGGAGTGCAGGGTGTCATGGGGCGACGTGTAGTGAAAGGGTTGGACAAGGTTTTAGAGGGGACACATTGATGGAGTCCACCCCTGTCCACAGAGTGTGGCAGCGCAGCTGTTGCAGAGGCCAACGGATCACCTGCAGTCGGTGGTCCTTTGGCCTTCCCAAATGCTCTACAGCTGTGAAAGGAGCCACGGTTAGCTGGCTGGCCCCACTACTGCCAGGGGTTATCCCTGTCATCCCCATTCTCCTCATCTGTACAGCCAAGAAAAAAATTGCTTACTATGGTGACACGAAGGGCTTCAAGATGATGTGGTGTAAAGCACTGGGTAAATGTAAATGACAGCCAGGTCACCAAGAGTAAAAAGTATTTGACCTTTCTTCCTTTCTTTGCGTAGGCAATGGAAAGGGAGAAGGATTGCTTGGAAGTAGTGAGGAGCTATTTCTGTTGATATTACCAGGGCTGATGATTTTTCCAGATGAGCTGAGAACAAAGGACTCACCCAGACATACATATATGCCCTAGATACAATAATAGGCCACTGTCTTATGTCTTTGCAGACATAAGACAGTGGCCAAGTAAAGTTAGGCAGAAAACATTAGCAGTCTTAGAGCAGAGTGAGGTTTTGGATGAAGACCCAAAGACCAGGGAGGTAATGTTTCTGTGCTAGCAGGAGATGGACTAACACTTCCAAGCACCCAATCAATACTGCAGAATTATCTCAGCAACATGTGTTCAGCCCTTGGCAGGGTCAGAACAGTTCGGCTTCCTTCCACAGTTTAAAAGTAAGCAAACAAACAAAACCCCCCTGCCATGTTACCCTGCAGCCTGGCTGTCCTTCAAAAGAGCCCAAACAAATGAGAGCCCAAGTGCTGCATCTAGTCAAAAAACCCTATGACATATCTTCTAACAGGAGAGGTTTGTTTGAGATTCCCCAGATCATAACTTCCTAATCCTGCTATACACCACCCTCTCTGTCTAGCGGGCCTGACAAAATGCTCTCTAAGTCAGTAGAACTCCCCTAATTGATTTCAGTGGGGTTTGCAGGTCACTTTTGCTGTGAACTCCTTAGAATTCCTTAAAGAACAAAAGACATTTAAATGTTCAGTGTTGGAGAGGAGGGGCAGAGTTTGTGAGCCCCCCGCTAATGCGAAGCTCCAAGAGAAACAGGCTTGAAATAGTTCATAGGGAAGACTAGACACAGCCATTCAAACTCACATAAATTCTTACGGAAAGAAACTTCACCTGCTTCAGCTGAGGGCAGATTAAAAGAGAAAAGCAAAGAAAGATGGACACTCACCATAGATCCGCTATAGGACCGCTGTAGCCTTGACCAAGACCCGTAGCCTCTCTGGCCTCTTTCCTGTATATTCTTTCTCCCAGTAGTAAAATAGGGATAACTACACATTTTGCAGGATAGGTGCTGAAAGAAGAAATATATCAATATTTGTTCTGTGCTTTGGAGCTGAAATTTGTGCTATAAATGGGGGAGGTTAATATTATTAATTTCAAGGTTAAGTTTAGTATAGAGCTAATAGAACTATTTGTTATCATGACATTCCTTCCTCTAAACTTTCAGGATTATTGCCGAAAGCTTTGCATTTTCTTCACTGTTGCTAGTCTACAGCAGCAGAGGTGGAAAATTACTGCAATACACATGTGGTCTGGTAGTTAGGACTGCAGAGGTAGATGGTCAAGGATATTAAAAAACTTGGCATCATGTAGGCAGAGGACCAAATGACAGGCAGTCACCCTAAGAGTTACGCAGTCTTAGCCCAATATCACTTGGGAAGTGCCTTCATCACTAGCTGAAAAGGGGCTGATTGTCCAACACAAATCATCCTGTTTGAAACCACAGATCAGCACATTTCAATGGAGGACATTGCATTTGGAGCAGCAAAAGGAAGCAGCTGAAATATGGGATATGCAAACTAGGCATTTGAAATTGCTAAATATGAGGTTATTGCTTCCTATTCTCCTAAAGGAAAATTAGTAGTTGGCTGACGTAACAACATAGATGTGACGAACCGAGACAGCTACAGAAAATCAGTTGATCCTCCCAGCATTCAGCAAGGAGCAGACCAAACCTGAGAGTACCGGTGTTGTAACCACCATGCCATGGCCCATGTGGGTGATTTTTCAGCTAGTGTCATTTCAGCAGACCTTTCTGAGCTTGATATTTCCCATTTTTCCCCAGTGGAGGTTTAACAAAAAAATTATTGTTGAAATTTGTGTTCCTTCTGAAGAAAAAAAAATTAATGAAAGAAAATTTCATGTGAAATTTAAACCAGCTCTACTTTTCAGAAAGGAACCCACGTTTTCATATTCGTACTATGGTCCATGTGGACAAAATTAAGCACTTACGCTGAATTCTTGTTCTCAATGCTTCTCTAAGGAGGACTTGGGTACTAAAACTCTTTCTACATGGAAAGAGGAGAAAATGCGGTAAACTCAGATTTCACAGTGTTGAGGCTGAAAGAGCTGCTATTTCTTGCTAGTCATTGCAGCCAAACATCAGATATCAAAAGTAAGAATTACTGGATTGCAGTTTGCAGGGCCCCGTGATTCAGTGCACTCCTGAATCACTGTGCGCTGTGCCCTGACCAGCCCTCACTGCAGCAAAAGCTGGATTTACAGTGAGGATGAAAAGATTTGGGAGATGATTACTTGAAGCAGACCCTGTGACAGTGATGTTATAGTTAACTAATTGTTAGCTTTCAAAGTTCCTATTGATTGTAGAAGGACAGCAAGCCTGGGAACAACCTAGGACAGTCCGCCACTTGTTACCTCCTAACCAGCTACTGTAACTGCAGTCTGATCACGGTTTTCCATTCAGCAGCAGCACTGTTTAAACTGAATTAATTCCCTCCCGCTCCAGCCCCGGCTCCCCTGCTGCCCGTTATGACCTCCCACACACCTGCGCTCCACTGGTACAAGCGTGCCTGCAACCGTATGCCGCGCCAGCCGGGAACACAGCCGATGCCATGGAAGAAGATGGTTATTCTTCAGCTGAACCAGCTCTCTGATCTATCTTATGGCCACGCAAATAGCCAGGCTGGCCACAGGCAGCAGCATGACCTGGGTGAGAGATTAGCAGGGCTGCTTAGGGCAGAGCGATGCTGAAGAAAAGAGATATCACGCTATGGCCTCGGAGCAATCTTTCTCAGCCTGAACTCAGCTGGAAGTTTGTTGCTTCTGTTTCAGACCAGATAGAGGGCTTGAATGCTTGCAAAAGTGTCTATTTTCTTCCAGGTACATTAATTCATCCAATAAAAGAAATTTCTCCCTAAGACTATTGTCTCATGCAGAAGGTGAACAATCTCCAAGATAAATAGTAAACTCAAAGGGCCTGACGATTATTTAGCATTTAGTGTAAATGGTATATAGCTGCTAACATCCTGCATAGACACAACACTGGAAAATACTGGCAGACCCAAAAATATGATGGAGCTGATCTTATGAGTGGGATATAGTTTTGACATTAAAGACATACAGCTTCGGTTCCCAGGCATGTGTAGGCTTTGTATGTGGATCAAGCAAATGCCTCCTCTCCCCTATGTAAAACTGTGATAATATTGCTTCTCATAACCTAGGAACTTTCTACAACTCAAGGGGCTGATGCTTGCAGAGCCTTTAGCAGCCACCAGAGCAGAATTTTTCTGCTGTGGTGGGAGATGCTGTTTTGCTGCTACTGGCCTCTATTTTTGAAACTAGTGAAAACAGAGGCATTTGAGAGAGCCTGGAGTGAAGCGGCACACAGGAAAGGATCTGAATAGTTCTCTGCTTAGCCCTATGGAGAGATGGTTCCTGCTAGGGCTTGAGACAGTCCATCTCATGGTGGCTGTCTCCAGCAGGAGCACAAGCCTCTCTTGCACCTACCAGCTGGGAGGGAAGCCAGGAACAACGGGACAAGGGACCAGCTTCTCCTGGCTGTGGCCCCGGGCAGGCAGGCTTGCAGCAAGCATGGGCAGACTACGGCTGCCGCCTCCAGCCTGTGCTGCACGGGCAGCGGGATAGCCAGCATGCAGCAGCTGTCTGGAAGCACTATGAGCTCAAATTAAATTCCAATTCAGCAGAAACCTGTTTTTCTCAGTCCTTACACAGCCTGCTCATCACAGTCTAGAGGTTAAGAAACTTTATAGCTGAGATAAGACGTATATCCATCACTGGGACCAAGGAGGTCAGAGTTTCACTGTGGTAGGTGCCAATAAGGAATCCCCTTCCTTGAAGAATTTGGCGACACCAAAGGAGAGCGAATGACTTGCTAATGTCAGAGAACAAGAAATAAGAATGCCTAGCCATAAATTATAACTTTCTACTTGTTCTTTGCATAACACTAAAAAAATGGTGTAAATCTGCTCTTTGCATGGATCAATAACTGATAAAGCAACCTCTCATTAAATGCAGGCACATTTTAGGGCCTCAGTTACAGTGCAGGCTGAACTAAAACAAAGCACCCCTCACAATAATTGTAGCATATTTGTATGCTAAATAGCTGAAAGATACTTTTCATTTCTACTCTAGGTCTTCAGAGCCACACCACAAGCCCTAAAGTCTAACGAGCCTTATGGCATCCCGCATGCAGTGCCAGGCAAAATTTAAGCATTCACTTATTCACCTCTGGTGCCAACCCTGCATTCCTAGAGTGCACTCTCCCCCTGGCCACCAGATAGGCAAATGAGGGTGATCAGCCCAGGTGAGTCACAGCTGGTTGCTGGTGTAGACAAGCCCCAGGATGGGCCTAGCAAAGCATCAGGAGAAACTGTTGCAAAGTGAGATGTCATTGCAGAGGCTCCGTGATTCCCTTCTTCTGGCCACAAGTGGCAGCTGCAACCAGGAGAGCAGAGAATCTCCGGTAAGGGCTTCAGCTCTGCACACCTCTTCCTTCTTGGCTAGCAGAGAGCCCTTTTCCATTGATCATCATAGATCTGGGCAGTCTTTACTCAGGTTTCCACAGACAGTAGCAGGTTAAGGGGCCCAGGTGGGGAAAGTAATTCAGTTTTCCATGCAGTCTGGATCTAGCACTTCTGGAATAGATCAATGTGCGCAATGCATATCACAGTCCTGAACTTCAGAGAGATTTCAGGAAGGAAGAGAGATACATTTTATCAATCAGTTTTCTTATTTCTGTGTTGGTACAAGAAGAGTAGCAACAGTAGTTTTGCAGGCTTTAAGGCCAGCAGGATCATTACAGCCATCTCATCTGTCCACCTGCATAAGGGAGTGCTTCAGTTTTCCCTGGTGATCCCCACGTCCAGCTCAACACCATGCAGTTTGGTGAAAGCATACTCCTTAGAAAGAGAGCCAGCTCTGATTTAGAGACTCCGGGCAATGGAGATTCCCTCCCATCCCTGGGTAACCTGTTCTGATAATGAAATATGAGAAGAAAGGGAGCAGTTTAGTCAATGGTATTTGTGTATGATGATTTTACGTGTTGCAACAGTGCCCAATGCAGTAAGTAAATTGCCCCCTGGCTTTCATAAACATCATCTGTACACAAACATTATCCAGAGCAACTGTATGGCAGCAAAATTCTCCAGTGTAAGATAATGTCATCTCCAAAGCAATAAGAAAGGTAAAACAGTACTTACCAGCTGGGAAAGAAGGAGAGGCGACAAGCAGCAGCTAGCTGTAAAATGACCGTGTCAGGGCTACAGCTGCTTGGGTCTGCCTGATTTAAAGCTCCAGCCCCACAAAGGCATGCTGAGGAAACTAATCCTGTAAGAGAGTAAATTCATACCCGGGAAAATTATGAGGCACCCAGAGGTCAAGCTGCTTCTGTGGGGTGTCTTTATAATACAGCCACCAGCAGGAAAAAAGTCGGAAATTAAGTTCCATCTAATCAGATGAAACTGGCAATAAAGCCAGGGCTCCTCCATGTATTTATTTATTACATTAAGTCCAAGGGAACAAGAGCTCTTTTTCTTTCTAAATTTGGATGTAATTATAGCCGGCTCTTCATTAGTGCTTTCTAACCTCCGTCTTGGAGCGCTTTGCAGAGGAAGCTGGCGGCATCATTCCTTTGTTACTGGCACAGAAACTGACACCCAGAAATCAAAAAGTAGTTTGGCCAAATTCTTGTGACAGCACATTAAAAGACCCAACAAGGGAATGTGGACCTGCTGCATCATATCCCTGCCCCATGTCCTGTCACACTATGCCCAGCAGAAGAAAAACCTGGACAGTCCAAAGTAAATCAACCACGATGAGCCAGGTACAATTGGGCTGAACAGCTCATTTTGACTGTAGCCAACTCCCTGCCTACTGTGCCTGAAGGCTGCAACAGCCTTCCCCATCGTGTGATCAAGGGGACCCATATTTTTGTCATGTAATGGAGACACATCTAATCATGTTACAGGAAGGTATGTGACGCTCAAGTGTCTCTATATCAGGCTGTGTGACCTCTCAGCTGAAAGATGGGGCACAACTGATTTAGGCCACGTCTTAGTCCTTGAATATTACTTTGCAGGGCAGAAAGACTTGCTGTTTCATTGCAGAAAGCAGAGAAACATGACTGAAGTGCTTCCAGACCTCCTCCTCCTCCTCACCTCACTGCTTTCGCCAAGGACTGCTTTCAGCAACCAAAATCTTGACTGAAAAGCAAAGAAAGGGAAAGAAATCCAGCCTCAGCCTGCAAGCCAGGATTTCGGATCCAATGTCATAGGTGCTAGCTGAAAGATCTTTTTAAAGCAAGTTCCTGAAAGATCGTTGCCTAAGTCCGGTCACACGGGAGTCACGGTCCCTTCCCCACTGCGCTCAGCAGACACCCGCATCTCTGCACAGCCAGGACAGCTGCCGATGGGGACACTGGCACACAGCACACAGCTGGGTGATGGCAGAGCCACATTTGCTCCCAGAGGTTTTCCTGGCTGGCATTCAGCCAGCTGAATGGGAGAGTCTCTCCTTCAGCAACCTGGCTTTTCAAATCACTGCCTATCCTGGCGTGATAGGAAAACGCCCAGGAGCGACCAGGAGAAAAATTTAACCTACCTTTAAAATATAAAAGGCTCTGTCCTGGGTGGCCTTCTGAGCAGACCTTCAGATATGTTTAAAAAAATAACACTTCTTCCTTCAGCATCCACCTGTTAATATAGAGCAAAATGTGAATTTTGTTTCTACCTGATCATGCCAATTGAGCAAACGGCCTGTTTGTGCACTAGGACACAGTAAGGCAAGAATCTGAAGCCTTCATCTTCCCTCAGCATCTTCATCTTCAAAAGAGAACACTAAGCAAACTGCTCTGAGCTCCTCCAAGGTGGAGACTAAGAGGTTAATTTTATAAAGCGACCAGAACATGTGCCTAACACCAAGCCCCATGGTACCAGGCACAGACACAAAATAAACAACAGTCATCGCTCCCAAGGGTTTACAAATGGCTGGATCTTTCTAAACAGTTCAGCATGACTTTTTTTGAAAAATCTACTATTAAGTGTCCCAGTGGAGGCAGCTGTCTGATGAGCACTTCAGGAAATTTGGCTCTTATCTGCAGGTGCTTAAATGGGAGCTGAGCTCTGGGGAAAAATCACACCTCTGAATAGCCAAGCGAGTGGCAGTAAGTGTGGAGGGGAGCTATTGCCTTGTCAAGAGATTATGGATGTGATTCAGCCTGGACGAAGGCAATAGCAGCGTCAACAGCCTAACCTTGGGGAGCGCTTCCCAACCCAGCAGGCGAGACGACGCAGACAGCCAAAGGCGAAGGGAGGAGAAGGAAGGGCAAGGACCCAGCAGGCGCGATATCCCAGGCGGTGGCGTGCTCCTCCTTGCACATGGAGAAACTCAGTGACCTTGGCCAACACAGCAGCATCTAAACACAGAAAAAAAACACAGCAAACCAGGCCCGAATCGAAAGCCTGTGCTAGTCTGCCTGCATGGCATCTACTGGTTCAGTGGCAATTCTCGCTAGAGGGCTGGCTCCTCTGTCACCACAGGCATCACCAAGCATCGGGGTTTGGGTTGCAGGTACCCCTTTGTCATAGATCCCCCTTTTCTGTCCATGGACTGCTTGGTGGTATTTACACTAGCAAGTAAAACAGGTGGCCTGCGGTGTTTCCTTGTCGGTAGGCTCCCCGACCCAGTGCTGGCCTGTGCCTACTGGCACAGGAGCGGGGCTCAAAGCCTTCGTTACCACATTGCAGAATATTGCTAGTGGAAATCCCAGAAGCCAGTCAAATTCCTGCGCCACAAAAAATGTCTATTTCTGCAGCTTTTGCTAATCAACTGGTTTTCTGATTCAACCGAACCAAGAACCCCAGACAGACATTTTCCTCCAGCTCTGCAAACCCTTATCTCATGCTTTCTAACTTTTGCCTCCTGTGATTTTTTTCCTAAAGAAAACAGGTTAAAAAAAAGTGGCCTTCTCCTTCTACTCAGTTCGTTCTCACCTCCCTCAGCCCTTCACCAGCAGGTCACAGATCTGTCTTCCTTTGCTTCCCTGAATGCCCAGGGGCAGAAAAACTCTTGTCCTCTCCTGACTATGCAGACACAGTTTTGACGCTTCCATCCCTTACAAAAAATATGGCCCAATTTGTCTTCCCCTTTGCTCCCAGTCTACAAACCTCTGCCAATTCCTCACATTATTTTAATCACTCCTCAGGGCTTTTCTTCATCTTCTCTACAACTTTCAGGGAGAGATGACATGGATCTCTGCTCCTATTTCTCTTCTCTTCCTTTTCTAGACTTTATCCCCAGCTTATTCTACCCATAAACTGCTGCCTCTGTATTAACCGCTCCCGGACCTCGCTCCTCACCTCAGGTCTGCAGGAAACAAGCACGGCATGGTCCTTCCTCTGTTCTACCACAGCTTTCTAGACAAACTAGTTGTTAATTATTCATAAAAAGTGTATCTCTTCAAAAGAAACAGGAGATTACAAATAAAAAAGTATGAAGGGGAAGAAATGGACAAAGAAATAGGCTCTTAAGCAGAGCAGGGAGGGTGGTCGTGAGAGGCCAAAGCTCAGGAGCCTCCTTCCCCTTAGCTCTCACCTCCCAGAGTGTCCTGGCTACTGACAGGTCTGCTGGGAAGGGGGCAGAGCCTTCATCTCCCATCTCCTCCTACTCTGTGAAACTGGCTGCACAGAACAACCCCTCAGCAGTCCTCGTGAAGCAGATCTTGATTCCCCAAGAGAATGTTATTACCTACTCATAGGTAATCACGCTATCCCTTTCTTTCCCCAAAGTATATTTGAATGTACTAGCCACTTAGTGAGGCACAGGCAAATCCCACTGCCGTGCTCCCGTCTACAACAAAGTAACAGCATGCTGCATCCCCTAACGGGTCATTTCCAGATGACTTCATTGATTATATGATAACAGTGGTTATAGATGAAAGACATCTTTGCTAGGAAAACATTCCCCTGCAAAGGCGAGACATACACCCTAGAGAGAGGACATATACTAAATACCGAACATTGAGGACCCTATTTTCTGCTATGCTCCAGCTGCTGAGAGCCACTCTGATACAGCAAAGTAAACATAAACCCAGTTAAATTGGGTTTGCAGCTGCATTGTGTTACCTAACTGGCCCAAAGCAGCTGGAGTTTACCACTAAAAGTAGCCTCTACAATATTCTCGGGGCCTGGTTAGATATCATTTTGTCAGCACACTTCAGATGGCAGAGCACACAAATTGTGCACCACGCACAGAAACACAATGAAATCAATTAAAGACAATGATGTACTCTCTGTGTAAAATTACATAGTAACAATTATTTTATGGGAAACCCTTCTGAGTCTGATGCTTTGGAGTGCAGAGGAGAGAACTGGGCTCCCAGGAGCGGCAGCGCTGCCAGGCTCCTGCCCAGGAGCATCTTCCTCGCTCCCCGCACAACCCACATTTGGATGCTGAAACTAATTATGCTGTGGGGTAAAAAAAGCTGATGTGTTACCTACTTTTAAATATTCATCCACTAACTTTCTACCACATTGTCAAAGACATTTATTTAGCCTGGGAGTTAAATATGGAAAGTTCGTTGTTCACACAGGGCTTGCAAAACCCTCTAATATGATGTGATATAAGTAAGTAGTATAAATGTGTAGCTTGATAAAAAGGGATAATTGCAAAAGAGTGCAAGGCAGAGCACATAGACCGGTGTTTTGGCAATTTAAAGTAAAAAAAAAAAGAGACTCAGCATTCTTCAGTACAGAGGGAGGTTGCATAAGCACTCAGAGGGGGAAAAAAAAGAAAGAAAGGAAAAGCACTTTTCTATATGGAAAATTAATCTGTGCACTGACCTTCAACCTGCTCTGGCACTTACACAGCTGTACAACGGGAAATGCGGACACAGTGCAAACGACATAAACAAATTCCTGCAGAGGAAAGCGTTCGAATGGGGACATCCATTCTCCAGCCTCAGACCCACCGTATTAATGCACTCGACTCCTGGGCAGTGCAGAGCTCCTGGTCTGTTAATGGAAAACTTCTCGCACAAAGTGGGAGGAAAAAAAATCCTTCCTTACAAGAGGAAAAAAAATCAATGAGCACAGGTTTGAATTTCTCAAGCACCAGGGCTGCCATGCTTTGGCAGTGAGAGAGCCTTGGCTTTGCTGGCTCACCCAGGCACCCCCCGCCGGGGACAGCCAGTCTGAAATATCTACAGTCCTCTGATCTACTGCATTGCGCAAGGCAGGACTGATGGCAGTGAGCTCGGGTTGTCAGACAGACTGAGTTCCTCCATTGGGTAAGAAAATGGATGCTATTGCCTGCTTGGCACTAAACGAAAAAGGGAAGCAGCAGTAAGGGATAGAGACAGTTATTATAAGTTTGACTAGGGACAGAATTAAATCGATGCAGTAAATGGCACTTAATGCACTTTAGTGACCCAATGCATTTATTTCATTATACCGTGTGCTGTGTGGCTGATTACATTTGATGCATAACACATGAAAAGCACTAGAGGCCATTTCTGGAAAATCTCAGGATGCAAAACAAATTGTCTAGGCACTTCAGGTTCTCAGCATATCTGGACACACACACACACACACACACACACACACACACACACACTTTCCTGCATGGCACACTGGGTTTGATAGCACCTTTCAGAAGTCACCTTAGCACTGACTTACCACTCCTTCTGAGGCTGCCTTGTTATGAACAGGGCAGCCAGATTTCCAGCACTCTGGATAAATTCTGACCATTTTCTTTAGTTGGTTTAACTGAAATAGTGTAGCTTTTTCTTCTTCTGGACCAAAGTCCAAGAAAACTTGAAAACTTGGAAAACTAAATGAGTGGTCAAATTTTCCAGCTGCAGAATACAGTAGGATTTCACTCTTTTCCATGGCATCAGTCCACACACACAAACCCAGCAAGCTGTCCTCAGAAAGTTCAACTCTGAGGGCTACGTGAGGGCTAAGATTTCTTCATTTACATGACATCCTGCGGAACGTTCATTGGCAGAGCAGGAGAGGCAGATATAAGAAAGGCAACACAGTCCTAGACAGATGCTAGTTGTTGGGAAGGCTCAGTTCTTGTTGTTCTGTCACTCATCTGGGTGTGTGTGATTTTTTTTGCTGGTGTAGTCAGAGAAGACGCTGAAGAACAGCTGAAACCCTTTGAAGACTCTTTGACAGATATCTTCTGGCTCTGCAGTGCTGGAATGAAGAGGCTGCTTGTTCCTACAGCTCCTCACTGGCCAGCTCTAGAAGTTCCTGTCCCACAAGTCAGGCAGCATAGATGTTTCCGTGCTATTCTCCACGCATTCCAAGATCTTAAGTTGTGGGCCTTTCTAACCCAGTTCACTGTGAACAAGCTGGGCTAGGGAGAGACCCCCATGGGTGGTTTGGCCAGCAGATCTGCAGGGAGCCACAAGCTCTGTGTGTGATTGGCACCTTATGTAGGCTTGCCCCATGCTGCCTGCTCCCATCCTCGCGAGCAGCTACGATGGGCGGCTATAAGCAGATGGTGAAATGCCCTAAACTGGTGCTGCTGACACCGGTAACCTCCAGCACAGCTGCAGCTGCAAATAATGTGTCTCCATAAGTGTAACGAACTGGGACTCACCAGGCTGGGATGTCAGTGTCTTACAAGACTGGACCTTGAAACTCTGCCCCATTGCTATGCAGGGGTAATGATTTCAAACCATTTTTGTAAGTGATTGTGACTGAGATACTGTTATTGCTGCATGCTACCATAAATCATTACGCTTTTCCAAGTCTTCTTTTCATTTGGTAGTTTAATAAAATAAATCTGTGGAAACTGCAATCATCTATTACATTTGCAGTAAGATGGGGGGCTAAAAACACCCACCTCCAGAGCTCCCACCTAGTAGTACCACTTTCAGACTTTCTTCCATCCGGTGTAACAGAAACATACACTTACTCTGAATGTTTCATCTGAGGATCCGAAAGCACTGGCATGAACCCCTAAATCTCACATCCGTCCTTGCAGAACAAGGATATTTATTAATATCCACTTGCCGTCTAGGAATGGTGAAGTGCAGGGAGGTTAAGTGGGTTTTACCTCAGAATAAATCAGGAGAAGAATCAGGAGCAGAAGCAAGAATCCTATCAGCTAGCCCTCGGTCTCAGGAGAGGAGAACCTCTTCCTTGGCACTTTACTTACTCCCGATGTTATTGCTCCTAATGTATCAGACTTGACTTCTGTTGACTGATGTATCTGTTACTCCAACCAGCTGCAAAGGGAAGATTCAGTTCCAAGGTGACCTCAAGCCGCGGTTACCCCAATGCCATACAGCTAAGGAGGATCACTGATCTCTATGGGCATGTGGACTGGGGATTCAGGGCAAGCATGAGTAACGCCGCATTTGTTTTGGATTTACTCTAGTGTTACTGAGATCAGAATTTGGCTCTGCTCTAAGAGAGAGAAAAATATATATATGTTGGATTTATTTGCCTTTGGAGGCACTAGATAGATTTCAATACTTAAGGGGATTGCATTTAAATCATCCGTGGATTTTGAAAACAACATTATTGCTTGGTATCACAGGCAATTCCCAATTTTTAGATCATCTTGAGCTAGACTCAGTTTTAGCCCTAATAGCAACTTTTCTACTGTTATGGTGAAGGAAATGGAATTGCAGTGAACTGGCATACATTTCCCTTAAAAGTTATAAAATGACAAATGCTTTATTTTGGCTTCTCTTGAGAATTTGCTGGGTATTAAAAATAATCTTAATGTAGTCACATAGTGCTTTAAGATAGTGTTTTGACTGCCTGTTTCAGGAAAAGCATAGGACTGTATGTTTTCTTGGCAGCCTATCACAAGGTGCTGATTGCATTGTAAATGTGGCTTGTTATCATAGCTGGATCAAGATATCACTGAACAAAAAAATACTGTAACTTCATCCTTAAAAAGTCGAATTACACCCTTTTTCAGGCCATGACAATACATGGTCTTCAACACAGCTAAGATCAGTTTACATCAATCAAAGAAAGAGGAGAAAAAGAGGAGAATCCATTTCCTAATGCTGTATCAGCCATTTCATTACTGTGTTTTAAATACTAAATTTTTTTAAGTTTACATTTTAAATTTGGTTTTTGAAGGCCATTTCTGAAACTGCTACCTTGCCTAATCTGTTTTTTTGTTTTCTTCTCAATTCCCTGATGCTCTGACAGTGGTAAAAATAGTGGGTGCGTGGTGAGCTGGGCACCAGCAACTTATCTATTTGCTGTGTCATACAGATCCACAGCAGGTTTAGGCGACCAGACTGTGAAGAAGGGCAGGTTTTCAAAAAAATTCTAGTGACCATTCAGCAGCCTACCAAATCATGGCAGAACTGAAAAACTGAACACTTTTGAACTGCATTTCGGACTTGCATTGTCGAAAGAGCAGAGTGGTTGCAGATGACTCTCTCCATCTCCGAGTCAAGTTGCCATAAAATGCTTTGGTTTTCTAAGCTCTTCCTAAAAAATTAGGACATTTTCAGTCAGCTGTCTTCTACAAGACTACCAAAAAAACAAAAAAAAGGCCCACTGGGGAAGCCAAAGACCACAAGATACTAAAAAAAAAAAAAAAAAAAAGCAGGAACTCAGTGCTGATCTCCAGCAGTGGTTCTGCCTTGTATTTGTTTTGTGGTCATCAACAGGAGCTGTTTCTAAGTGGAGAGAAAGGGAGAAATCTGAGGAAAACTGTTTTACATTTCTGCTGCAAATTCCAAAGTGTTGCATTGGTATTTTCACTCATTACCTCAGCAGTTGCTGTTAATATTTCTTTCTCCAAATACCTTCCAGTGAAACCTCCAGAATGGACTTTATCCTATATTTTCTTGAAAGAAAAAAATCTGTTCCTTAATTCACTTCACCACCACCAGTGAAGCAATGGTTAATAACAGAAAGGAAACGAGGAGGAGCTCAGGCTGAAAAGAGAAGACACACTGCAGTCAGGGAAACACCCTGCCTTTCTTAATGCACAGCAGAAATGCAGGTAACGTGCAAATGAGCTACCCTGCACCAGCAGCAGCTACGGCAGGCAGTTCATAAAATTCTCGTACGGACCTGAACGCAACCTAGAGAAACAAAAGCTTGCAATAAAGCACATCGTGCAGCTACTGTGTCACTCTCATCCTACTCAAAATCTTAAGAGAAATCTGTTTCTCGCTGATAACATCGTGGGCACAACTAGCTAATAGCGTTAAAAAGAGAAAATGGAGACCTATTTCTTTCCTCTTTGGCTGATAATTTAAAAGAAAATAAAATAAGATGTTGATCAACGTCAACTCTCATATCTGTCTCCATTCATCTTATTGCGCTGGGAGATTTTTTCCAAAATGCCCTCCTATCAGAAGTATAGTTAAAGTTCAATTGATTATTCATTAAGTAGCCTGGGCCAGATCCTTAGCTCACGTTAAGTCAGCACAGTCCCAGTGATTTCACTGACATGGCTGATTTATTCCAGCTAAGAATAACAGTGGTTTTGTTCTGATCTGTTTTTATTCCCAGCGAGGCAGGTTAGCATGGGATTCCCCTCACCTAACGGTAAGTACAACACCGAGATCTCCAGGGAAGCTGATACTTTTATAGACGACAGGGGTGAAACAAGCTCTCTGAGGGCATCGCTCATCTGACTTATTTCGGATTTGATTTCCACTGACTACACAGGGCACGAGGGGTGTGCAGCTACAGTAGTGAGTCGGTTCAGCTCAGGATTGCACTTCTGAAGCGACTCTGCCTTTTGGGTGAAGCTAAACTGGAAGATGCAGAAGCGCATCTAATGCACTCCATCTGCAAAGGGGTGTTCAGTCCACAGCATAAGACCTGACCTAACCCCAGATCACCCCGCTCCGAGGTATATATGGGGTGGAAGCCAGGCCCTCAGCAGCCAGATTCAATTTGGACATCTACCCCAACTAGGCCACGTTACTTGCTTTTGTTTTCTTGGTTTTGTTTTCCGGCAGGGAGACGCCCAGAGCCAACAGCAAGCACAAACAGCTGTTGGAACCCTCTGTTTTGGAGGAACCGGTAGTGACTCAGAAATACTGGAGCAGAGTAGAGCCACCTGCTCCTTTCAGCCTGTTGCCAAGATATATCAGTCTTCTTCCAGTGGCAGATCAGACGGGATGACAATTTATGGACCTCTCCAGGCTTGGACAGTCTGTACCCCAGAAGGAGTATGGCTAGGTCTGGACATCTCTGAGGGGGATGAAAAAATGACGAATCCCTAAAACCTACAGGCCATGATCCAAAGCCCAGTGAACTTATCAGGAAGATTCCCAGAGCGGGATTCACCTGACCTCAGGTGGGTATCTGCAGCGCAGAGCCTGTGAGTGGTGTGCCACCACTGTCTGGGAGAGCAAGTGGCATCTGCAAGGTGCAATTTATCTCGTACTAAAGGACAGGTCTAAAGCGAGTGAGGAGAATCGCTCCTAGAAATGCTTCGCTCCATCCCCCGAGCATGGAGGGAGTCTAAGAGGATGAACTCTGAGGTAGTCGACTGCCTTGTAGGCACCTAAAATTAGGTGGGAGGAACAGAATCCCCTGTGACTGGGATGGGCTTCCAATAAGCCCCTAATGATAAAGATGGGTGAAGAAATTAATATATTCTCAGCCTTCAGGGACCAGCCTTCCAAGGCCTCTAGGCTGGTGGAGGAATCATCTTCACACACACATATACAGGCAGTGCTTCCTATTAAAGTCAAAGTCACCAGCCAATTACTGTGTCACAACACAGGGACTCTGTGCCACCACACACAAGTGACACACAGACTGAATTTTTTTCTGCCCTCAGGTAAGATAGTGCACACCTGTCAATGTTGCCTGAGTAGTTACCACTATGTATGCATGCTACACCATATACGTTATCTAAAACTCACGTAGGCTACACTAATAGACATCTCTCAGCAGAGAAGAAAGCAGATATAGAAAAAAGCTATTAATTTAATTACCCTGAACTTGAGATACATGACGGTCACACTCCCAGATTTGCACTTGCAAGAGCACAAGCAACATTTGTTATTCTCCCTTAAAAATAAAAACACGCTGCCACAGAAATGTATGTCCTTTATTAACAAATTTTCAAAATAAATCTCAAGAAAAAACGTCTTTGGTGACACTATCTATAAAAACAACCTGTCTTAGATGGTAAACCTATGGTGTTATACAGGTTAATGAAGTAAACCAAATTATATGGCTTTTTAATTTCTCACTCTCTCTTTTTCTCTCACTCACACACTTGCTTTAGGTTTAATTGCACCATGTTGTCAACAGTGAAACAAGGGGTGAGAACACTTTAAAAAAGATGTGGCAGCACTGTGAAAACATTGGTAATGCATTAGAAAATTTTTCTCAAAAATGTACATTTTATACAAAATAAGATTGTACTTTTTGTTTGCTTTTTTGCTTTACATATGCCCGTCTAAGAATTTCCATTTCAGATTTCCATTCCAATCATCCAAATACTATACATATTTTCTCTTAAAATAAATACATAGGATTATGTACAAGGTCGCAAGGCCCACTGGATCATCACTAATCCACTGTGAAACAGTCACTAAAAAAACATGAAAAGGTGAGAGAGAGTACCCGAAAGCATCTGATGAGTCCCATAACCCCCCTTAATTTAACTCAAATTTAAAAAAGAGCGTAAAGACAATTAAAATAGTGATATAAAGGCCAGCTGGCCTCAGTTTTAAACAAGGGTGAGATGCACATCGTTTTGGAAGGTGCCGTTTTGTTCTGCTGCAGACACCAGCCAGGGCGCTGCCGGGGCAGGCCACTGGCGAGCAACTCCTCCAAGCAAAGGGTGTCACCGCGAGATCCTGCAGTGTCCCACGGCCACCCGTCGGGGCCACCTCCCTGCCTTAGCCCTTCAGCTGCGGAGCCAGCCTGGAAAAGCCACCAACCTGACCAGCCACCTCTTGCTGGAAGAGAATATTCAATTGGAGGAAATGATAAAATTGCTGTTGATCAGTATTTGTGTCATGACAGCCATCAGGTAGTTTTTATTTTGGGTGCGGGGAGAGAGAGAGAGAAAAAGGAGGACACTATATTTTAGGCTAGGAAACAACGCTTTTCAAAAAAAAAAAAACAAAACCGTGAAGTCTACTTCTAGCTGGTTCTTTCACTGTTTCAGCATTCAAACGATTATTTCCATTCTTGAAATGACATGTTTTGGTAGATGAGCTATTCTGAAAGATGTTCACTGGTGAAATATTAATTCCTTTGTCAAAGTTGGCTCTAAAAAGAAATTGAAATCTGAAATCGATCAAATCCATGATGTTTTCAAACAGAAAAGAAGATCAAAGCGCTCAACAGCCATGCATTAGCACACCGATGTGTTCATTATGAAATTGTTACAAAGCTTAAACATTCACTTTTGGAAAAAGTTATGGCAATAATTAGAGTTTTTCACAAAATAGAAAGAGGGCAAATAAAATCTCATATAGGCCCAAGGGACTATGAGGAGAGCCAGGCACTTTCTATCTTGGAAGTCTGCCCCTACTTTTATGTCTTATTTTTCTCATTATGAAACCTTCCTCCAGCAATAGATCTCATTCAAATTATAACTGGGAAGGGTTTCTTTCTTTTTTTTTTTTCCTTAATAAATTCAATTAAAAATTCATCAGTTCTCACAAACTCTAATACCTATTTTTATTCTGTTTTAATGGCATGGATCTATTCACATTCATCCATCCATCTCACCCCTGATTAAATTAAGGTCAGTAACCTTTACAAAAGGCCACATGGATAACACTCAGTCAAGTCATCAGGCATTCAAGTACCTGTAAAGTAAAGGCTAACATAGCCTGCCGTTAATGAAAAATAAAATAAACCCTACAAAAGGAGCAACAAGGAGTGTGAACCTTGTTTCAGCACCATCTGAATTAAGGAGGGGAAGGGAAAAAGAATGAAGAACCATTAACTCACATACAGGATGTGATAAAAGGGTGATTTCATTCGCTAAAGAAACGGAACAGCCCTATCCACCACCGATTCACACAGGAGGCCTGGAAACGTGCCTGGTGTCCTTGGGAGCATTGGCTGATAACATCCGCCCCTGCATGACACACTAAGTTTCTAAAATGAGTCTGTATTCAGCTCTTACCCCCAATCTCCAGCCCATGGACACAGATCTGTGGCCATTATCAACACTGGCCGCCTCGTACATTCCTTCCTGGAGAGACGGTTACGCCTTGGTAACGTGCTCCAAAGAAAAACGCTCATACCTATCCAAATCCGTTCTGGACTTAAGCCTTTTATTGTTACTTGTTTAATTAGTGATCTGTAAACAGAAGAAACCTTGAACCATGGTCAGAGCTCGCTTTGCACAGCCTTTCAGCCACCCCAAAAATGACGCTAACAGAATGCCAAAGAGCTTAAAAGCTTGGCTTTACTTGCTGCACTTTGAAAATGGTGAGCTACTCCCATTTTACTAAAAACTTAACCCATATGTCCCCCAAAATGTCATTAAATAAAACCCTAGCAGAACTGCAGTCCTCATTTTTGTGGAATGAGTGACCGAGCACTTCTCTTCCCTCCCCCTGCCAGGTTCCTCTTGCTGGTAACAGACCAATTTAACTATTTCTCAGAGCTTCGAACATCCTCATGGACAGATCCACGTGCACGCCTGCAAGCTGGGACATGAGCAAAGCGGGAGCTGTGCCAACCTCAATAAGCGCTGGACAACGTTCGCCAAATCCAGGAGTCTAAGGAGAAGACGTATTCCAGTCCCTAAAAGAGCTGGAAAGAGCTGACTTTCAAAAGGAGAACGAGGCATGGGAACTGCTGAGCAATTCACTCTGGGAAAGCAAACCACTGGACTTTGCCTTCGCCAGCAATTATGCAAGTGCAGAACTGATAGCAAAGGGAAGCAAAGTTCTGGTTTTAAGAGATTCAGGAAACTGAATTAGCAGCTCACCAGAGCCGGCAGGAGAATATCCTGCTGCCCTTCTTTCCTTGTTCCTGTCTATATATTCCTACCTCTTTTCACATCTCTCCCCATGTTCATTCATCTCACGAAAATGACATTAAAATCCAGTAAATCACTGGACTGCTTTCTGCGACTTTAATGAGTTAAATAGGCTCACGGAAGCATCTGATGGGCACTGGCCAAAGGTCCAAGGTGAGACTGCCTGGCCAGGCCCTGGGATGGGCCAGAGAGCAGCGCGAGTTGGGGTCAAGTGGCACCTCTTCCCCTCAGCAGCAGGTCGTGAGCTAGTCTCACACACGATTTGCCAGATTCCTTTGGCGATCTGGTTCAGATTTAACACACCGTGCCAGGAACTGGATGCTCCTGCCCTAACTCACCATGTGCTATTCAAGTATTGCACTGCATATGAAAAGCAAACCCTTCTTTGTGAGTCTTTGTGTGTCAGGTTGCATAAAAACAATTAATAATACACACTTTGCACTTTTAAAGCCACTTTCAGTTCAGGAATTCTGATCTTACCATCAACAGTAATTACTTAGGCTTCACAGTATTTCCTCCATAACCAGTAATTATTATTTTTACAGTGACGAAACTTGAGGTATACCTCAGTTATGGGAGTTGCTTAAAGCTGCTTAATAAATTAGTGCCCAAACCTGAAATTAAACTAATAATCTTGGTCCAAGCACCTTCGTACTCCTCTAGCTATTCTTCACTCCTGTTACTACACAGCCTAGATACAAAGGAATGAGTTACAGAAAGATTTGCTGGTCTTCTTTTGGGCATTGACGCCAAATCCTCTCACTGTGACTTTTAACATTGTTCTTACCAGTGGCTATTGTTACAGTATCCCCCAAATGCACCTCATAAAAACGTGAGGGTTCAAAACATTTTTAGAGTGATTATTGTCTCAATAAATTGGAACGGTACCTTTCTAAGCTAAATCACTGCTTCTGTTTTAATTCTTCAATTTAAAGGAACACCTAAATGAGCAGAGCACTACAGAGAAGTATATAACTGGCATATTTCTATTTTAAATACTTCCATTTGAAATTATAACACCATTTTTGAGCATCAGCAACACCCGTACTTCAGGGGCAGATTTTTTTGCCCGAATCACCCTGCCTTAAGTATATTTGGGAGAACTCGCTGCCACCAATACCAAGCAACTGACAACGCAGTTTAGTTCAGATGTCCAAACTCCAGGAAGAAATTTCTCCACCTATTGGCACTTCAGCAATTTCACATACACACACAAAATAAAAGCCCTGCCACGAATTGATTTAATATAAAACAATTTGTTACAGGCTGAGTTCCTGTATTTCAAGAACTAACATGTCTTCTTTTTGCCCAACAACCCTTTCCACCCCTACAGTCCTTCCAGCCCGCAGCAGTGCTCGGACACGATGAGCCTGATTCGGTGTGACCCATTCGTAAGAGAGTAAATGGCACTGAATTCTTGCTGTGCACGAAGCCTTTTCTGTCCTCCATGCTATTGGTTTCTTCCTTGGCAATAATGCTCCTCTCCCCTTTAAAAACAAAGCCGATGACTGTATTTATTTAAAAATAAGATCCCCCAAACAGAAGGATCTTACCTCTAGTTTTACACGTCGGGAGTTCTCCAAGTTTTCTGTCTACAGAAAAGGAATTTGGCTATATTGACTGCTATTAGCTTGTGGAAAACTAAGGAAAAAAAAAAAAGTCAGCAGCAAGTGGAAAATACAGTACTTAATTTCTGTCCTGCTTGTGCTCTATTTCTTTCTGTAACTGCTGCATTTTCTCCCTGTGAGATTCAAACATTTAACTTTGCAGGGGAAAATGAACGAAAATTGTAATCAAATGCATGTGAGAAAGAAATGGCAGCTTTGAAATATTCACAACCAACACAATTTTGATTAAAGAAAGAACTCTGTTTTTAATAGTTTTTTTGATCATTAAAAAAGTTTAAACCTGCATAGCAATCATTTCAAAAATAATTATTTAATGTTCCATAATGAAACTGTACACAACCTAGTCTCGAGCGACAGAAGCCTGTGAGGTGGTTTGAAGCAGTCCAGAGCAATGAACCCCTGGGAGCCATGAATCAGCTTTCCATTTTCACGCATTTTTCTGTCCTTGGTACAGTCTGGCTCCTTGTGTCAGTGGATCTGCGCTGGGCAGGGCGAACAGTTCAGCCCCCTCAGCAGGGCTCCTCAGAGTCGTTCAATGTCTCGATATTTCTTCCTCAGAATGGAGACCTGGTCTTTAAAGAGGACAGGGTCGAGCCTCATCTGAGAATGGATCAGCGGCATATAGCCAAACCAGCTGGCAAAAGTGTTCATGCAGCTCTGTCGCTGGGCAAAGTGGTCGGGGTCAGCCCAGCGCGAAGCCCTGGAGGTCTGCACGGGCAGAAAAGCAGAAATCAGTGGTCAGCGTTGACAAAACCACCCAAAAGGCAGGAGGTCCGACGCCACGCTATGATGCGACGCCAGGGTTTGAGGTCACCCTGCTCCACAGTAGCAGCAGGAGGCTGAAATCTAGCTAGTGGCTATTTTCCAACCCCAGGAACGAAGCTGTGCCCATAGGAGGAGCTGGCCACCCCACGGGCTTCGCTCGAGGCGGGAAGAGGGAACGCGCGGAGGCGACCCGGACCCTGGCTGCTAGCAGCCCTCACCTGGAGCACAAGCACCTTGGGGCAAGCCTCCCAAAGCCTGTCAGCACACTAGCTCACAATCTATCTTTTGCTCTCTTTTTTTTAAACCTACAAGCTATTAGGAGAGAGGAGAACAAGTCATTAAAAAAAAAAAAAAAGGAACGAAAACAAGGACACCATTTTCCACTAGAGGTACACATCTTAGAACCAGCTGCTGCCCATGGCCTTCAGCTATAAGAGGAAAATACTGCAAAATTATTACAGTTTGTCAGGTCAAAAATGCACTTCTGCAGTCTAGACCAGCAAAAATTTATATACAAGTAGTTTCAAATCATTTGTAATTGAGCTCAGTGCCACTTCTTACATGTCTAAATTTACTCGTGCATGTAAATGTCCCGCATGTAAAAGCGGGATGCTTCCAGAAATCAGACTGGCTGAGAGTAGTACGTAAGACAGTACAACCTTAAGCACTGAGAAAATAAACTGAAATTCCAGAGACATAACATTAAACTCTGATCTGAGGAAAAGACCATAGCTTGTCTTTATGGAAAATACTGTGGCCTGATTTTCCAAAGCTCAGAGCAACTGTAATTGCTATGAAAGTCCATGGAAACTCAGCACCTCTGAAAAATAAGCCCCTAAAAGCTCTGAAGCAATTATTATTCTCTCTCTGTACCTAAACTACATGTATAAATATAATAAAAGTTAAAACTACTGTTTCAGAGAAACTGTGAACGCTGAGAAACTACTAAGTTGTTCTGTGCCACTTCTCATGCATTTCTACAGGATTTTACTTCTATTTCTACTATGCTTCAAAAATAAATACAAATTCATAAACTCAGAGTGTGTTAATTAAAATATGAAGAAACAGATAAAGTCAGGGTATTGCCAAAGGAATTTGGTATCAGACTTGATCTTTATCCAAGGCCTGTTGAGTTTAGCTAAAGTGGAAGGTTATAATGTGCATTGATTCCAGCCTCTTGATTACACACAGCCTCTAAAGAGCAAGCAAAATCTTGCTGCTAGAGGATTACAGCAGACATGCTGGCCATTAGCAGTGAATTTCCATATGACCATTAATCTCTGTCACAACATTGAGGTTATGATAATTTTTTATTTGTCTTTCAAGGAATTATGAGCATGGTCCGTTATATTTCCCAAAGCTGCAGGAACAACTTGTCTTAAAGAGGGAGTTACAGTTCACGGTTAACTCAAGTCACTACCTCTAAAAAAAAGAAAAATGTATGTTCAGCCTGCACCAAACAGCGAAAACACAGCCCTGCAGACAAGTGAAGCTCAAACTGGAAGCAAGCAAGTAGTTTTGCATGGCATCTTATTGTTCGGATAAGGTCTCGTGTGCACAGATGAGTCAGAATTGCTGAATATTATCCATAAAGCAGATGAAAATGTAGCGCCGAAGAGATGAGGGAGTCTACAGCCTGGCTTGGCCATGCCTCAGTCAAAGATCCAGAATGTTGGGTCATGCTAATAGAAGAAAATGTGAGGGGAAAATAGAGGGCCCCTTCCTTCTCCTGTCCCCTTCTCCCCCGGTAACCCTGGTGCTGGCTGAAGTGCTGACCACAGACACTGTGGAGGCACAGATGGGAGGTTGCTTAGGACTTGCAGCTTCTGTGCTCTTATCCCATCTCTCACTCCCACATGGCAGGAATAGTCCCCCAAACCTACCATGCACCTATGTAATTAAAAGGTGCATCCATTTCTGCAGGGACAGAATACTTCCAATGGCTCGAAGAAGCTCTAAACCAAACAGCTAGCGAGCAGTCGTGACCACAGGACAAAACGTTCCTTGGGGGAAAAAATGTTTTCAAAGCACAAGTTACCTCTGTTGTGACAGTCTAACGTCAGTGCTTTAACCACACTATAAACTTTTAAATAGCACAGGTATGGCCCTGTACATTACACTCATTAATAATAATTAAAAATACGAAATCTTTTTAGAATTTACTTCTGCTTCTAGCACTGCATGACTAGGTCTTAGGTCTAGAATATTTAATTAGCAAATTGCAGTCTAACTAAATTCAGTCACCACAATCATTCCACAGTCATCAGGTCCATTAATTTGGGATTAGCACGTGCAGTGATCCTAACTGGAAGACCACTGTACAGTGAGGAGTTGGCGTTCCATCGAGGTTGGTCCTCCATCGAGGACACAGGCCTGTGCTGGGCTGCTCATATCCCTCAGCCGCAGAATAAACTTAGCCAGCTAATCATAACAGAGGGCCCTTTAGGCAGCTCCCACCAGCAGTTATGTCACCTGGGTGTCCTCATCTTTATCTAAAAGTGAAGCAGCATGTTCGCATGTGAACATACTTTTGCTTGACAGTAGGAATGATCAATATAATTGTTTTCTTCTAAAAAAAATCCTGCAGGAGCTCTAAGATCAAAATATGCGTGAACCTCACCATAGACGGAATCTGAGCAGGGCGCTATGCACTGGCCAAGAGGTTTGTCTACTGCTGTATCATCTTGGGGTTCCCAGCATCATGCTGTATCATCTTGGGGTTCCCAGCATCAGAAGGGATGTAATATTTAATTAATTGCTAGTCTTTTTTTCCGCTCCTATCCTTGAACGTTCTAATTAAACATCTCATTATACTTAAAGATTCAAGTGGGTGTTCTTTCTTAGTGAGAGCTAGAAAGAACCAGCACCTACCCAGTACGTACACCACTGTAAATAACATAATATGAGAAAACTATGAAGAGAAGCTGTCATCTACATGTAGATATTTGCTATTTCTCCTTTTGGATTTTCTTTCACTACAATAAGCATACTTAAAGTCTATTTACAGTTCTGTTAAATTAAAAACTACAAAAAATAAAGCAGAACTGAATTCATTCCACAAGTCTAACCTGGAAGTCAAAAGGCGGTATTAACAACATGTCTCAGCAGCTAAAACATGCTGTGGATACATACCTGTCCCATCATGGTCTCTTTATACTGTTTTTTCTGTGTTACTTTGATTGGAGGCAATTTTGTCACGGCTGACACCAAAAAATTCATTAGAATGTCCTCACAATTGGCCAGTTGGTCCACCATATTCTTTAGGCTGGCAGGCAGGTAATGAGTGTACAGGTAGTGATAATATCTGGGAAACCAACAGCAGGTTTATTAATACAAGTCACTGTATTTTCAGGGACTATGAACTCTAGAGAATTCCTGCCCCAACTGAGACATAAACGTTGTATGCAAGGTTGGATATACCAGATCCTTTCTTTGGTCTCATCCTCCAATAAGAAGGGAGACAAATCAGTGTTTCATCAAGGCAGTAAACAGTGCTACTGGAGAAACAACATACATGTCTATTTTTTAAATTGGGTTGAAAGAAAAAACACAGACCTAAGTATAAGATAATGGTGAAGTAGGAAAAAGAACTCCTCATGCTATATTGTGATAGTCAACATTGATGAATTTACTCTCCATTTCTTCTTTCAAAACTGTGTCAAGCTGGAGAGAACACTACTAAATTGGCCTATTACTGTCCTTGTTCAAATCATTCTCCTCTTGACTTACTCTATTTCCTTCACCCTATCTTCTCCGTTATAGCGGGATCGATCAGGTACTGTAGAACTTGTTGACTTTCTCTTAAAATCTGGAGAGACCTTCAGTCTGCTGAAGTCCTAACAACAGGCATCTTCTCCGGTTTGCTGCACTGTTCTGCAGTGTACCCACTGCACTACGCTTCTAGAGCAGCCAGAAGACTTTGCAGAAGACTTTGCAGCTGTCAGCCAACACATACCCAGAGCTGGGCTGGAAGTAACTTCCTTTCTGCTATGCTACAGGCCATTCAGCCGAGCAGCTTAATGAATTCGGGAACTCTTTGAAGTGTGTAATTCCTGATGTTAAAAAGAGCAGTCCGACTGCCTCAGAACACAAGCGACTTCAAAGAGACCCAACAAGCGCAATAATGATTACCAGATTCCCAGAGCTAAACCGAGAACTTAAATTATTACCCCATAAAAAGGAGACCCATTTATTATCTTTCCATTTTTTCCCCTCCCCGGAAGAACGCTCTGTATTCCCCCCATGCTATTTTGTTTAAGACAGAAGGAAGACAGCAGATGCTCTAGGTTCTTACTTATGGTAAATAGCAGCTCCTGTCAATACCATGGAATAGTCGTTAGTCCATTTGGAGGTATAGCCCCATCTCTCCTTAGTGTTGTCCCAGAAGTGACTGCGAGCAGGGTATCCCACAATCCTCTCTGGAAAACTCTGCCAAACTGTAAAGGCAAAATCCACCTGCAGACAAAGGCACAGGCCAAATGAACAGCCAAATTCTTTCGACAAATGTCAACAAAACAAAATATTACCTTGCCATTAATTCATAATTCAGAATCTTGAAACTGTTGCAAAACATTAATTCTATGTATTCATCAGCAAATTAAACTGACTGCTTGACATTTTGCCCTATAATTATGCACATTTTAATGGTTCCTGTTAAAGGGAGTCTAGAGAATCGCAGCATTACATTAACATTTTCAAGCGAGCCCTTTACATATCAACCCTTTTCAAGTTACAGAAAGAATAAGGGTAGGTGCATGCATTTATACTTAGATGGACCTTAGCGCTAATAGCCATGTGGTAAACGGAACCTTTTGCACATCTTTATGCATCTCACTTATTTACTACTTCAGTACTGTCAACACAAAGCTCTGAAAATGAGGAGTCAAACACTTTAAATTATAAGGGTGGCTCAGAAAGATTAAAACAAGCAATCAGTGTGCTGTTCTTTCATATTTTCCTTCTGTTCTGAGCCTTTGAGGTACAGACACTTCATGTTTTTAAGACTGTCTATATGGCCAAGAGGGTTAAATGCATTTCTTAAGAAAAGAGGAGGATAGCATTCCCATGCAGTTATATAGCTTTAGGAGTCTGTGTTTTAAGAAAAATGCTTGATGCTGTATGAGCCACAAGAAGATGTCGAAAGCTGCATTATTTATTTTCGTCTTGCCATAACTACTTTAATAACTCAAAACTCTGAGAATTGAAAGGGTGATAGCATACTGCTAACCACCAAACAAATTTTAGAGACAACAGGAAAGGAATGATTGGGGTAGTCTGCAGCAGGCTCATCGGCCCTGGATTTGAAAGGAGCTTGGTAAAAATACATATGGAAAGCTTTTTTTTTTTTTTTTTTTTACCCATGTGAAGTTTTTTGACAGTCTCCTCAGTTCAATTTATATTTTGCAGCTCAAAGTAGCCCAAATTTTTAAAAGAATTAAAGATAAATCTAACTGCCCCAGTCAAAACCATGCAAACAAGGGATTTGTTTCTACAGTGCATACAATGTTTTCTCTCAGTACCACAGGGACTAAAAGTTTGCTCAAAAATACTTGAAAAACCTTCCAAGAATACAGCCACGGTCAGGGGTTTAGAGGTTAGATAAAGAATAGCGGCTATGAAAATAGTTACTTTTTGCATGATTATTGTCAGACTTCTCTCATTTACAAGTGTTTTTATGAAACAGAAGAGTCGCACATGTACTGGAACAGAGAGTTAGGGACTGGCGCTTTTCTTTCAAGTTGTGTCAAGGAGTCTGAGGCCAATGTGCACAAACCAGTTATCGTTGTGATAGTTCTGATCTCATCCAAATCAATACCACATGAAAGCACTAAAGGTTTTCTCCCTGTAAAGCCCTTTCCCATAAAAGCTGACATCTGTTTTCTTTAGAGAAGTTGGAGAATCTCAAACTAAAACAAATACTGAAGCAGCTATATCCCACGTCCTCACTTGTGCTTTTAAATATCTATCCTTGTACCAGTGAGAGGCACTAAAACAACTACCCTAAGGGAAATATCCCTTTACAAAAAAAAAAGACCCAAGTTCTCGTCCTATATAATTTTCAGCAGCCTTTTCACTTGGCTGATCAGCAG